TGAGAAAATGTCTGACGCTGGGGACTGGGATGGGAAGGAGCCTCTGGCTTTAGCCATGGTCACATATACTACTGCCACACTGTCTTTCCAGAGAACACTTTAGACACCTTCATGGCTCCCCTATTACTTAGGCATCCCACATCAGTGCTCCACACAGATACCGCCCACATCACAATCCGGCGCTCCATAGGGATGTGTGTTTCTGAGCTCTGCGTTCACGTCATCATCGATCTCTTCATTCCTCCACAAATTCCTGCTATTTTAGCAGTTTCATAAACCCTGATTTCTTGTACGGCAAGACCCTCTTCTTGTTATTCTTTTCCAAAGTACCCTGGCGATTGTTTGACTTTTTCATTAACTGCATCAATATCCATGAAAAACCATGTGAATATTCTGCTTGGAATTACATTGACTCTATGGCACATTTTAGAAAGAATTGGCCATCTTCACATTATTAATTCTTCCTCTAGATCAGCAGTTGGCAAACTATGGCCCGCCATCTGTTTTTGTAAATAAAGTTTTATTGGAATGCAAATACATCATTTATTTACATTTTATCTATGGCAGTGCTGAATAGTGGCAACAGGGAACATATAGGCCAGAGAGCCTAGAATATTTAACGTTATTAGTATTTAATTATAATTACATTATAGTGTAATATTTGATATAATATTTAACATATGGTCATTTATAGGAAAAGCGTACTGACCCCTTCTCTACATGAATGTAATAAATTCTCAATGAATTTGCTTTTACATTTCTTCTCACTAGGTTTTCTAATTTTCTTTATAATGTATTGTTTATTTTTGTTAAATGTATTTCTTGATATTTGATATGGGGACTGTTATAATTTTCTTACTTAAATGTTCTAGGTGTTTCTGGTTGGTGTAAAGAAATGCAACAGACTTTTAGATATCCTTCTATTCACCCATCTTGCTAAACCCTTACTATTTGTAACAAATTATAAATTTTTTAATGTATGCAATGTCTCCTGTAGATAGTGACAGCTTTATTTCTTTCAATCTTTCTGTTTCTACTTTTCTGCTTTTTTTTTGCCTTATGGTACTGTTTAGGAACTCCTAATACAATGTTGAACAGAACAATGTTGAATGTCTTTTGTTCGATTTTAAAGAAAATGATTCTAATGTTTATCTATTTATGACCACATTTACTTTAAGTTATTCTTTATCAAGTTGAGGAAGTTCCTGTCTTTAGCTTACTGGGATTTTTAATCATGAAGGAACAATGAATTTTCTCAATATTTTTCTGAAACTACTGAGTTGACCAAATGGTTTTTCTCCTTAATCTGTTAAAAGTAATGAATTATATTAACAGATTTCTCTAGTATTAAAAACATCCTTAGACATTTCGACATGGTCAACATGTATTTTTTTAATACACTGTTTTCTAATATTAAAAAAAACTGCCAGGCATGGTGGCTCATGCCTATAATCCCAGCACTTTGGGAGGCTGAGGTGGGTGGATCACCTGAAGTCAGAAATTCGAGACCAGCCTGGCCATCATGATGAAACCCTGTCTTTACTAAAAATACAAAAATTAGCTGGGTGTGGGGGAGCACGCCTGTAGCCCCAGCTACTCAGGAAGCTGAGACAGGATAATGGCTTGAACCCGGGAGGTGGAGGTTGCGGTGAGCCTAGATCATGCCACTGCACTCCAGCCTGGGAAACATAGCGAGATACCATCTCAAAAACAAAATAAAACAAAACAAAACCTTTGTACGATTCAACATGGTCAACATGTGTTATCTTTTTAATACAGTGTTGGAATCTATTTACTAATACTTTTTAGTTAGAATTCTTGCATCTACATTCATAAATGAAACTGGGCTGGCTTGTGATTTTCCTTCTGATAATATCTGTCTAGTGTTGGTATTAGGAATGCTGATTGCATAAAATTAGTTGTGGAAGTGTTTTCTTTTCCTAGTGTCTGGAAGAGTTTGTATAAAATTGAGATAATCTGTTCTTTGAAAGCGTGGTGGAAAATGCCTATAAAGCATCCAGAACTTATATTTTCTTTATGGACAGAGTTTTAATCACAGCTTCTATGTTTTTAAAAGAGTTGTAGAATTTTCTATCCTTTTTATTCTTTCCAAACATCCATTCTAGAATATTTTCCTAGATATATGTCCCAATTATGGGCATATATTTCTTATAGTATTCAATGATGTTTTCCTGCCGTGCAGGCTGAAGTGCAGTGGGTGATCATAGCGCACTTCAACCTCAAACCTCTGGGGACTCTCAGGCAATCTTCTTGCCTCAGCCACCAGAACAGCCAAGACTATACATGTATGTGCCACCGTGCTCAGCTAACTGATAAAAAATTTTTTTTTCATAGAGATGGGATCTTGATATGTCACTCAGGCTGATCTCAAACTCTTGGCCTCAAGCTGTCCTCCCACTCTGACCTCCCAAAGCACTGAGGGGGGAAGGGGATGTGGGGGAGGAGAGGGAGAGAGAGAGAGAGAGAGAATGCATTTATTATGTATTTATTTTTAAATTTTTCAATACCGATTGACAGGTTCTCGCTCTGTCACCTATGCTGCCATGCAGTGGGGCAATCACAGCTCACTGCAGCCTCTACCTCCTGGGCTAAAGTGATCCTCCCACCTCACCCTTCCAAGTAGTTGGGACTATAGGTGCATGCTACCATGCCTAGTGAATTTTTTATTTTTACTTACTTTTTTGTACAGATGAGGTCTCCCTATGTTGCCCAGGCTGGTCTGCAATGCCTGGGCTCAAGTGATTCTCCCACCTCAGCTGTAATTATTTTGTAAATCTCAGATTTACCTGTAGTCCTGTCTCTGATTACTTTTATAATGTTCTTTATTTGTATATTCTCTTCATTAATTTTGCCATAGCTTTCTGTTTTTCCTTTGTTTTTTAAAGAACTTTTTACTTTACTGAACTTCTCTCTACACAATGGAGAGTAGATAGCAGTAAAAAAAAATGAGATGCAATAAGAAGCAATTTATGGATGAATCTTAGCTTTATGATATTAAGTAAAAAAAAAAAAATTAAGTCCCATAGTTTTAGTAATAACTGACATCTAGAGATTTGGAATTTCATATATATCATGACACACTAGAAATGAACAACCAACCAAAGCCCCAAAGATACAAAGTTCTGTTTATATCTATAGTTGTAAAACTCCAATTCGGCTTTGAAGGCGTTAACCCGTAAGAGTCAAAGACTGCGATGCTTCTCCATGACATTGAAGTAGGTCAAAGTCAACCAAGAGTTTGAAATTACTGCTAATGTTAAGAACTCAAGAGAGTAAAAATGATGGTTACAGAGGTTGCAAACATAAGAGGAAGTCATTTCTGCTTGTAATTCAGTCTTCCATTTCCTAAGACTGCCTTCCACCTGCTGGACCTTTACTAATGGAGAGTCCTGGGCTTCTGACCCCTATGAAGCTCCACTGCTCACCTTTTTATTTTTTGACATGGTGTCTTGTTCTCTTACCAAGGCTGGAGTGCAGTGGCGCGATAGCAGCTCACTGCAACCTCTGCCTCCTGGGTTCAAGCGATTCTGCCTCAGACTCCCAAGTAGCTGCCCTATGTCCAGCTAATTTTTGTATTTTTAGTAGAGATGGGGTTTCACTATGTTAGGCAGGATGGTGTCAATCTCCTGTCCTCATGATTTGCCTGCCTTGACCTCCGAAGGCAGGAACCACCATGCCTGGCCTCCACTGCCCACTTTAAAAGCCAGTTCAAGTACCACCTCCTCCAGGAAACCTCTCCTGACCTCCCCAGGAAGCACTACTCTCATGGACCTGGTGTGCTTGGCGAATCTCTTTTATGACACCAGGGCAATGCCTAATTATCCTATATTCACTGCAGTGGCAAATGTAAGGCCTACCATTCAACTCCAGATTGAGCAAACACTGAGGTCCAACTGAATGTGAAGGTTTCCTTCTATCAGGTGGGATATGATACAGATATGTAACACATTTTGTTGCTTAAAGTTTCTTTAAAGATTACTGGTGTCATTTTGATTCTTGAAATTCATTCATTTAGTTTCTGAGTTCCACCTAGGATGAGTAGTTCCAGTTAGCTGAGTGAGTCAAACTTTCCTGATGGTACTATATACTACAGGATCAAATAACAACTCTCGGCCAGAAAGAGCAGTTTATATCATAGACGACATTTTCTGTTAGTTTCAGGGAACTATCTAATCTATCTTACATTCCCACCCAAAGGGACTGAAAGAAAACAATGTTTTGGTATTTGTAATACTAGTATTTCAGCTATATGGAAAATTCTATTTGCTACTACATGGATATGAATACACATTCCTAAATCAAAATATAAATTCTACTCTTGAGAAAGTAAATCAATTTCATATGTATGCAGATTCTTGAAAATGTCAGTAATATTTAGGTAGCAAAATAATGGAAACAGTTTCTTTGAAAATACTCTATTTTTAAATCAGTGATTTCATCTTTATTTGGTATAGTTATTTGTAGGGTAAAAGGTAAGAGAGAACGTCAATAGCAAAGTATACTTTTTTTTTAAGATAAGGATGAAAGTGAAAATTTAGGAGCATGAAAATTAGCAGTGTATTTCACAACTGATGTGATTAATGAATCTTAAAGAGATATCCATAGAAAAATCGAAACAAAATGTCTCACTTATGCTAAAAGTTATACTGTATTTATTTGCCAAGTCTTATGTTGAGATGGAGAAAAATCTGAAGAAATTATGACCATTTCCCATTTCCCCTCTGGCCATGCCCTCACCCCCACTGACCACACCCATCCCCTGCTGCCACACCCATTTTCCCAGCTTCCTTATTCCTTCAACATTTCTAGTTTGGAAAAAAAAAAAGGGCCCATAACAGTGGAGAAAAATGTGTTTCAAGGTGTAGTAAAACATCTAAAGACTTATGCACAAAACAGAAATATAAGTTGGGTACCTGCTACATGGCATGCTTTAAAAAAGATGTAAGCCCCTCCGAGATGACAGACCCTGAGCTGTGTACCTGCTTCTCGGCTTGCTTCAAAAGCTTCTGGAACCTCTCGTCCTCCAGCACGCCAGGTGGAAGGTCAGTCTCTCCCTGAGCTTTCAGTTCCTCTAGCTTCTGCCGCAAGTCCCTGAGCGCCTGCAGCTCATCATTGAGGCGGCTATGCCGGGTCAGAGATGCCTGAAGGTCCAGTTCCAAATCTAGAGATGTCCGCACGGGGCACTCTTGTGCTGTTCTTCTAAGGACTGACTGGCAAACCGTCTGGATAGTGAGAAACAGAATGACAAACACCCTGGTTACACAGGCAGTGGTTACTCCGCTTTCCTTCCTTCCTGGCGCACAATGGATGGTGCTTCCTTGCGCCCTAGAAGCCAGGGCCTAAGCTGCCTAAGTGGCAGGAGCAACTTGCTCTGGCCCATGGCAAGAGAGTGGGAGGGATGTGCCTTACCTCCAGCAGGAGCCTGTCAAGGCCAGTGTGAGAGGTGCATGTTTCTGTCCCCTGCTAGAGGGAGAGCAAAGAACCACAGAGGGAGGCTCCATCAGCATGGGCCCTGAGTGAGACAACATGGAGCAGGGCCTCCTGCCAACCTGCAGTGAACCAGTAGCTAGGCAAGAAATAAACCTTTACTGTTTTATACCACAGAAGTTTTTAAAGTTGTTACCACAGTATAGCCTGGCTTACTTAGCCTGACCAATTCATGGCATGAAGCCTGCCTTGTGTGATAAATAAAAACATTGTAAGGCACTTCTGTTTCCTCCATTTTAGGACACATAACTACCATTCCCATGAGTCGGCCGGAATACAGCTGGTCAATGTTGCTAAGTTTTGACTCCCTCCTGTAATCAGAATGCTTACACTGAGTTGCCCTCCTTGATTTCCCATTGTGTGCTACTTACTCTCACCACTGAATCACCATGGCTCTTCCCAGGGCCAATCATACCCATTCATCAAGCAATAATCATTGAACATATATGAAATAAATGTCTGCTGGGGCTGTGCAGGCAAACTACTAGGCAGAGAAGACAGAATCTCTGCCCTTGAAGATTTCAACTGCAGAATGACACGAGACCTTAAGCAAGAGGAAGCTGTGAGCGAGGGCAGGAGTGCACAGGATGTCAGGGAAGGGGACAGATCACCCAGGGTCAGGGCACATTCCCTTGAGGAAGAGATTTTAAGCAAGGCTGGGTGAGAGGTGACACTGTACCAGCAGAGGGAAACAAGGAGGTATTTCTTATCTAGGTTACTGGCAGTCTGAATGCAAAATAAATGACCCTTGATAAGAAGTGGTATTATTTGGAATGAGTAAGGAGGGACTGGAATTCGACAAGTACTCTAGTTTGAAGACATGAAATAATGGTAGTGCTCAGGCCAGGTGGAAGGGAGAGGCCCTGTCTATCCCTGTTCTGATTTCGGAGCCTTAGCCCAAGTGTTCTGACTTATCGTGCTCTTATTGTGTCCTGTTCTTCCCCGACGCCCGGCACATATTGCATGGTCTCTAAAAATTTCAGTGCTAGGCTTCTGGCATGTTCCCATTATTAGGTTCCCTTTATTCAACCTCTTCCCTCTCTACAAATGCATTACACAGTGAGAATCATCTAGACAGACATTCTCTTTGACTGTATTACTTATTTTTCAGAATCAGACATCTCTCCTAGCTGTCATGCCCACAGAGCCTAAGCACTCATATACAGGGGTTTGCTGGTAGATGTTTAATAACTGGCTCTCTCTGGCAGAGAAGAAAGCACTGACCTGCAGGGTTTGCCAGTTTCTATGTGGTAAATACTCCTACCATAACCATTTTCAAACTATGACTGTGATGTCACTGTCACTCCGATTTAACTGGCAAAAGGCGTGCACATTCGGCTCTTGTGAGCCAGCATGAGGAGGGTGCAGTACACCATTGCCAGTGGGTACCCCTCTAACCTCATCACTCCTATGCTTGGTGCTTTGCTCTTCTAATCAGGCGAACCCTTCACTCATCTTCGCAGATACTTTTGTCCTCATACACCTTTATCCCTTGCTCACGCTGTAATTCCTAAACCAAAATGCCATTCCCCACTTGTTCCTATCAAACCGTATCTGTCTACTTTAAAACCATGTAAAACTACCGCCTACACACGCTTCAGGATTAACCTCTGTCTGTTTCAAGTAGTCCTAATAATTAAGTTTATCCGTAACCCAACTGTTTCTCAGCTCCACTGGATTCATAAACACTTTCAGTTAATTTTCTCTGAAGAGTGCAACTATCCCCTGAAAGCATGGATGGCTTAAGAAGGCAGGCAACTTAGAAAGGAGTTTGGAAGAATTTTCAATCAAGATGATAAAAATTTGGTGCTTTTAAAGCATGAAGTTTGGTAACCTGAAAAATCTACATCGCACAATTTCCTGAAAATGATGAAGGTTGAATAAACGCCAGCACATCTCATCTGCCTTTAGAAGAAAGAAATATGCTTGTATGCCTTTCAAGTAACTAGAAAGGTAAACCGGGGTGTCCAGTGCTGCCTGCCCAGGCATCTCTTACTCTGCACATGGTGGCATGAGACCAGAGTGACACAGGTGATGTCAATGCATCTGATTTACCTTCCAGCCTTCACGCTTGATCCTCCTGTCCAAAGTGCCAAAACTGTTGGCAAAACCTGATGCTCCTCATGCCCTGTGTGTCCCTGTTCCCATATCATTTCACCAGGTCTTATACACCTTCCCACAATTGCTCAAGACCTGGACATGGTATGCAGCATGATCAGAAATGTGTTCCACCATTGTATGATACCCCTGCAGGCTCAGTAGGCCCCTTCTCCAGAGATACTGAAGCTACGTATCCAGCCTTAACCACACAGGTTCCACACCAATGATGAGCAAATGCTCTACCCACCCCCATCTCCGTAGCAGCCAGGGCATCTGTGTCTCTGTGTGTCCCAGAGGCTGCATTCAGTAGGCTGAGTGCATGGAGCACTGACATTCATTCTGTGGTTCTGGAGTTTGTGCTGTACAAGTCACAGTTTTGGACTGGTCCAGGGACAGTGGGACGTGGCTGAGGGAATACATACCCTTTTGACCCTCAAACTGCGCCGTTCAGTGGAGTTTCTCACGAACAGTGATTTTTTAGCCAGGGTTGAACTGTCACTGTCACTCCGATTTAACTGGCAACAAAAGATTGAAAAACAAAAATCACTGCATATCAGAGTACAAGTGGAAGTCTGGAACTGAGATATTTACCAAGTAAAGCAGGTAGTGACAGTTAAGAGTTTATTTCTTTAAGAAAATCCACTCAAACAAGGTTTTTCCTGGTCTATGTTTTGTTAAATAACTTCATTTTCTTAATTAATTAATTAATATATTTTTTAGATGGAGTCTCACTCTGCCACCCAGAGTGTAGTCGTGTGATCTTGGCTCACTGTAACCTCCACCAGCCCGCTTCATGTAATTCTCTTGCCTCAGCCTCCCTAGTAGCTTGGATTACTGGCATGCACGATCACACTTGGCTAATTTTTGTATTTTTAGTAGGGATGGGTTTTCACCACGTTGGCTAAGCTGGTCTTGAACTTCTGACCTCAGGAGATCCGCTCTCCTCCGGCTCCCAAAGCGTTGGAATTACAAGTATGAGTGACCATGCCTGGCCTCTTAAATAATTTAAATAGCTGTCTTCTGGTAGTGGTTATCAAAAATCCTATGTTTAAGGTACTTCTATATTTCTTGAAATAAAATTATCCTTTGTAGTTTTAGTTAATAGATCATTTTTGTTTATTTAAAGAAAGGTCTGCATAAGACTGGGTACAGTGGCTCACACCCGTAATCCCTTTGGGAGGCCAAGGCGGGCAGATCACAAGGTCAGGAGCTCAAAACTAGCCTTGCTAACATAGAGATACCATCTCTACTAAAAATACAAAAATTAGCCAGGCATGGTGGCGCACGCCTGTAGTCCCAGCTACTTGGGAAGCTGGTGCAGGAGAATCACTTGAATCCGGGAGGCAGAAGTTGTGGTGAGCCAAGATTGCGCCACTGCACTGCAGCCTGGGAAACAGAGTGAGACTCCGTCTCAAAAAAAAAAAAAAAAGATCTCCATAAAGCACAGAGTTCAAGGTCAGAGTTGAGACACAGTCTGTGCTATCTAGAATGGGCTAGTGAGTGTGGGCTACTTGGACTAGGAGCAAGCGCAAGTAGCCCACACTCACTGTCTCACCTGCTTCAAATCTTCCCTGAAATGCAGGCTGTGTATCAGCCTCAACCCCCTTGCACTACTGTTGTCCACAGCGTTGATCCCTTTCCAAGATACTTCATAGCTTATTCATCATATTTGCTGCTGTGGTCTGACTCGATTCACAGGAATATAAACTCTGCAATGGCAGGCCTCTGGGTCTCTTGTTTCTAGATGAATCCTATGTATATAAGAAAGTGCTTACAAGCAGGTGCTTAATAAAAATGTGTTGAACTGAATGAATAAAAACAGAATTTAAGAAGTATTTCTACCCTAGTTTATAATACTATGTCTGTCTTACTACATAAATTAGAAATACTTCTAGAAGTACAATTTGGTAAATTGATGCAAATCTCATAATTTTCTTCACAGAACTATCGATATGATTCAGTGTTTATAAGCATTATTAAAGGAGGACTTCTGCTTTAAAAAGCAATTCACAATTCTCAGTTCAACAAGACTAACATGGTTTGAAGGACATACGATATAGAATAGAAATATACAGACTACATATATCTCAAAAACCCACTTTATGTTTCTAAACACAGACTGAAGTCCAAATAACGTACGTATACTTAGCACTCAGATCCTTAAACTTCACTTACTTGCCAAATAAACCACACTGGAACCAAGGAGACATTAAATTTGATGGGGAAACAAACAAACTCAAAGGGACCACAAGTGTGTGATATTCTACATCTCTTTTATTGCATTTCCAGTATTTGTAGTTGTAAAGTGAAGACTCCCAGAGCACAGTCTGTTGTCCTTTGCAGGCCACTCCCTAGCAGCAGGGAAGAAGTTGCAGTCCCAGCACCTTGCCACAGCCTTGGCGCCTTACCCTGCAGATGTACTGGTTCCGCTCTCCCGGAGAAAAGGTTTGTGAGCGCACTATCACACTGCTCCTCACAAAGGGACGCTGTCTAGAGCTCAGGCTACTGCGGTCTTTGGGGCGAACTGCCATATTGTCATTAGCAGCTTCATCAGTATTCGTCTCTTTATCAACCTGTAAGAGAAGTCAGCAATTTGTGAGGAGCTGATAGATCTGTAAACATTATGCTCCTTTCTTCTAAGACAGAAAAAACATCTCAGGTTACAACACAGACTCATGGAGCAGTTTCTTAAGAGAAAGGCTTTGTATTACAGACTATAGTACTTCTTAAGTACTGGGGAGAAATTCTGGGGAGAATTTCTCTTGAGTTTTCTACAAGAATGGTTTTCTACTGAGTTCTTAGGAAGTTCTGCATAATAGGCAGCGTGATCTGTCCACAAGGTTACCCTTAAGTAGAGGTGCTGCCTCCAAAAGGCCGGACATAAAAATAAAGGTTTAGATTTAAAGTGATTCTAAAAAGGATCCTATTAGAGTATATATCATCATTAAACTTGATTCAACTTTCTGGTTAGATTTTTTTCAGAATAAATGATAAAGATAATTAAATATAAGAAAATGAAACATACCACAAACTTGTAGGTTTAAATAGAATATGTAATTATACATGTATAAACATAACTGTCATGAAGCTGAGTTGTATTTTACTGGATCTTTAGAAATGTAACAAAAATAAAACAAGTAAAAATGGAAGTTTCTCAAAATACAAACTCAGTAGGCAAAGGCAGAGGTCCATTTTTTATCTTATAGGTTTAACTGGATTCTAAACCTACCTCTTTTTTTTTTTTGAGAGAAGGAAAGAAAAAAAAGGAGTGAAGGAGAGGAAGAAAGAGGAAGAAAAAGAGGGAGAGAGAATGGAAATGTTGCTTTATTCTAAAAAAATGGGTATTAATAATGGCCAATCAATATTTCATTTAAACCTATGAGTAGGTGTGATGTGGTATTGACAAGAATGTATATTTTGTGTATTCGAAGTGGAGAGCTCTATAAATATTTATTGAGTTTACTTGTTCCAGATCTGAGTTTGAGTCCTGGATATCCTTATTAATTTTCTGTCTCATTGAGTCTAAGTCTCTATGTATCTAGGTGTTAGGATCATTAGCTCTTATTGTTGCATTGATCCTTTTACCCCTATATCTTTGTTGCTTTAAAATCTATTTTATCAGATAAGAGAATTGCAACTCCTGCTTTTTATTTATTTATTTATTTTTGCTCTCCATTTGGTTGGTAAATCTTTCTCCATCCCTTTGTTTTGAGTCTTTGGGTATCCTTGCATGTGAAATGGGTCTGGATGTAGCATACCGTTGGGTTTTGACCGTGTCTTTTGATTGGGGGATTTAGTCGATTTAAATTTAGGATTATTGCCATTTGATGTTAACTGGCTGTTTTATCCATTCGTTGATGTAAATTCTTCTTTATGTTGATGCTCTTTACTTTTTGGTATATTTTTAGAAAGGCTAATACTGGTTGTTTCTTTCTATGTGTAATGCTTCTTTCAGAAGCTCTTGTAAAGCAGGCCTGGTGGTAATAAAATCTCTGAGTACTTGCTTGTTCATAAAAGATTTCATTTTTCCTTCAGTTGTGAAGCTTAGTTTGGCTGGATATGAAATTCTGGGCTGAAAGTTCTGTTCCTTAAGGACGTTGAATATTGGCCCCCACTCTCTTCTGGCTTGTAGAGTTTCTGCTGAGAGATTTGCTGTAAGTCTGATAGGCTTGCCTTTGTGGGTAACCTGACCTTTCTCTCTGGCTGCCCTTAGTATTTTCTCCTTCGTTTCAACCCTGGTGAATCTAACGATTATGTGCGTTGGGGTTGCTCTTCTTGAGGAATAGCTTTGTGGTATTCTCTGTATTACCTGGGGTTGAATCTTGTCCTGCTTTGCTAGTTTAGGAAAATTTTCCTGAAGAATATTTTCCAGCTTGGATTCATTCTCTCCATTGCATTTGGGTACACCTATCAAATGTAAATTTGGTCTTTTCACATAGTCCCACATTTCTTGTAGACTTTGCTCATTCCTTTCTATCCTTATTTCTCTAATCTTGTCTTCTCATTTTATTTCATTAAGTTGGACTTTGACTTCTGATATCCTTTCTTGTGCTTGAACAATTTGAGTGTTTAAACCTGTGCATACTTCTCGGAGTTCCTGTACTGTATTCTTCAGTTCCATTAATTCACTTATATTCCTCTCTAAATCATCTATTCTCATTAGGATTTCATCAAACCTTTTTTCAAAGTTCTTAGTTTCTTTACATTGGGCTACAATATGTTCTTTTAACTCACAGAAGTTTGTTATTATCCATCTTCTGAAGCCTGATTCTGTTAATGGGATGCACTCGTTCTCCATCAAGCCTTGTTCCCTTGTTGATGAGGAACTGTGATCCTCTTTAGAGGTAGAGGCATTCTGATTTTGAGTATTCTCAGCCTTTTTACACTGGTTTCTTCCCATCATTGTAAATTTATCCACCTGTCGTCTTTGTAATTACCAACTTTCAAATTAGGTCTCTGAGTGGACGTCCAAGTTGTTAATTGCCAGGGCCGAAATATGAGCAACCCACTCCGCTGGCCAAAACAGCGGCGTTAAGACTGATGGTGCTTTTCTGCCCAGGAATCTCCAGTCTGGCTTCCTTCTTGAGTCTGTAATAGGCGACTCTGCCTTCCCGGAGCTCCAAACGTTGGTCAGAAGGGGAACCAGTCCCGTTTACTCTGCACCAAGAGCTGCCGCGCTGAGGTGACAGCAAAACCGCTGCGCCGGCCACAAGAGTCACGCTGGCGACCTTTGGGGCTCCTCCACTGGGAATCTGCTCTGTGAGCGACAAAAATTTGTCTGAAAGTGTGGTGTCCTTTCGTTCTCACTGGGAGCTGCCATCCCGAGATGTTAGCGATCAGCCATCTTGGATCGTTCCCTAAACCTACCTCTTAATGAAAGTTTGCTCCTTTGTGAAAGAAAGTTCTCACTCAGGGCATAATATTATTTCCTCAGGAATAATTTTATTTATTATTGAATTAATTAGAATTTTCTAAACTCTATTACCAATATCCCCCAGTGTGTGAACATTCCCAAAGCTTGAAAACATTTTTCCCCATATGGGGTTGACAGTCTCAATACATCTCTCACTTAACTAGCAAAGTTACCTGTTTAATAACTTGGTTGGCACTTGTGCCTAAATTAAGTCACCTGTCACCTTTCCAATCAGGGCACCACCTAACCAAATGAACTTTAAATGTTTACTTCATGTTTGAAATGGAAATAAACTTACTACATATGTGAATTTGATACAAGACACCCTGCTGTTTTCCAAGGAATTCAGAAAATATTTTTTTAATATTCACAGAATCTTTATAGAGATCTAAAGCAGCTAGCACTTTTTCTCTTCTTATATATTCGCCAAATACAAGTGGAGAATATTTTGGGCCCACTTTAAAGCATTTACAAGGCTCCTTAGAGCCTATGCCCACACATGCCTTTTACGATCAGCTTTTGGCCCAAAATCTGGACATGGAATTTACACCTAAGGAGACAAACAAGCATCTCCCTAATCCAACGGTGCCTGTAAAGTATCAGTTTTAAGACAGCACAGTGGAATAGTCACCAGCGTTGGTATTCCAGTAGGTGGCCGACTTCTGAGGTCTTTGGCACAGCTGTTTTCTTTCCTGTTCCTGTCTTCGTTCACCTCAAGCACACTAGTACATGAACTTAAATCTTCCGTACAGCTACTGTCCTCTGGCAATTTAACTTCAGCCTCTTTTTCAGCCACAGTTTCATCAGAGGCCTCTCTTAGCATTGTTGGCCTATGGTAAAACAAAAACAAAACACACTTTTGGTAGGCAGGCATGCTCTATGAACACACAACCTGGGCATGCTAAGTGGTTACCTGGGACTCACACATAATGAGACAAGCCATTTCTTTGGCTGGGTTTTTAACTAAATGTCTCATAAAAAATAAAATTCTCACTTCACCCTCTAGTAAACTGCAGCAAAATCACCTCAACATGGTACTAAAAAGTTAAACTCATGAAATTTAACATAATTTCTAGATATTAAAATAGACATATTCTGAAAATCATAGAGTTTAATGTTAGCATTTAAAAATATTGACACTCACTATAAAATAACTTGGTATTCACTGTTCATTTATTGTAAAATAATCATGTAACAGAATGGAGTTACTCTCAGCTAAGACTGAATGAAGAATAAGGATTTTAAATACCCATTTTATTGAGTGTGCTCACAGTCTAGCAGGGAGAATCCTATGTTAAGGGAGTTTTTCTTCTCAACTAGCAGAACTCTTCTTTGACAAAAGCCCTGGCATGGGCTGAAGCAGCATTATAAGTGGTGCTCCAGAATATAAATACAGCTTAAATAGAATACATAAAGCAGAACTACTAGGATGGTTTAGAACATCTCACACTTTGTTGAGTTTCATGTTCTCCTAATGCAAACATTTTTTCCATTGATAACTAAATGTTCAGCTTTAATTTGGTTGGTGACATAATGCAAACTGGAACAGACCAGGTAATAAATGTCTAGCCATGAAAATGAGCACAAGGGGAACCATCGAACAAAACAATAAATTCATTTGTTTACATATTAAATGTACTGTTTGGAACTACGTGTAAAATAAATTGTATTTTACATACATGAGAAAGGCTTAGTATTTAGAGACACTATCATGAACCCTATAATCACTTTCATATTTATTCGTTTTGCAGTACTGCAATTTTTATTCACTATAAAGAACTTTTTGATAAGGACAAAGTATATCTACATGTTAAAAAATCACAACAGAAGTTCTTCCTTCTAAATGTCCATATATTTAAAATTAACTCAAATGATTTTATGTGTGTGTGTGTGTGTGTGTGTGTGTGTGTGTGTGTATATATATATATGTATTTAAAAAGCAAAATATTCACTAAAATTTGTTTTAAGAGAAAAAAGTGCAATCCAAGGACAGTTCTTCATATATACATGAACCTGGACAAACACTGTAATAACTTCCCCTCCATCCCCCCTTTTTAAAGGATTGGGTATAGATAGAGAAGGATACAGAAAAAGAAGCCAAGAGTGGTAACAAACCAAAAACATGAGTAATCAGAAGTTATTTTTTAAACACTTGCTTTGTCTTACTAGAGCCTAAATTGTACTTTCATGTAGTTAAAAGCAAATTGAGAGTCACTTTTAGATTTATTTACAACTCTACAATAAGCTACCATATCTTTCAAAATCAAGTTTAGACTTTAAGAAAGAAAAACAGCTTGGCCAGGCATGGTGGCTCATGCCTGTAATACCAGCACTTTGGGAAGGCGAGGCAGGCAGATCATGAAGTCAGGCGATTGAGACCATCCTGGCTAACACAGTAAAACCCTGTCTCTACTAAAAAATACAAAAACTCAGCTGGGCATGGTGCCATGTGCCTGTAATCCCAGCTATTTGGGGGGCTGAGGCAGGAGAATTGCCTGAACCCAGGAGGCGGAGGATCAGTGAGCCTCAGGTTCTCAATTGTGCAGTGAGCAAGATTGAGCCACTGCACTCCAGCCTGGGAACAGAGTGAGACTCTATCTCAAAAAAAAAAGAAAGGGGGAAAAAAAAAGCTCAGAAAATAGTGTTTTAAAATTACTTGAAACAAGAACAAAGAATCTGGCTAATGTCTTAACTTTGCCCATAAACTGCCATTACTTTCTTAACTCTAATGACCAAGGAAAGACTTTTTCTGGCATTACTTCCTGAAGCTTCAGTGCATTTCATAATTCTGGAATAAAACATGAGCCTACAAAGGTTTCATTCTAAGACGTGTAAACACATCCTCTTTGAGTTCCCAATAGCAAAAGGAAATAACTGTTTAACCAGTCTCCATCAGGACCGCTTTGCTCTTCTTGTCTTGCTGCTGCTGCTTCTTCTGCTTCTGCTTCTTGTGCTAATTCTTGTTCCACAGCTAACAACTCAGCTGATGTTCTTGCAAGTAAGGCTGACACTGCATCCTGGAGAAAGTAAAGCATATGGCAATTCACATCATATACCTGAAGAAATGATTTAAAAACTCAACAGATGGGAATTTACACTTCTATCTGTAAAGAAGACCCAGATCTCCTGCTGAAAACAAATATGAAAGCTGAATAAAATATAAGCCAAAACAAGCAAAACCTCCCAGATGTTTTAAAGCAATGAAGAGCAACAAAGACAATTAGGACTAGAGTACCAAGATCCCAGGCAGAACAGAAATATAATAAGGTGAGCCACTGCCACTCTTTTCCCTAAGGGTTGTTTGTCAGTTCTAGTGGTGAGATAAGTGGGGTAAACATACTGTGGCTGCCTAGAATGGTGGCAGTGTCAGCAGGATGGGAACACTAAAACAGTCAACCTACAAGGGATTAGAAGAAATGAACTGTAAAGGGAGCTTAATTTTCTTCATGATATTCCTGCCATGGCATTTGCCATTCCTACGCTGCCTATATGCAGAGCAAGAAGCTGAGAAAGCAATAAACCAGCTGCGATCAGGCTAAAACAGTAAGTAGATATTTCCGTTGTCTCATATGGTCTCATGGAGAGAAAAACTGTAATTCAGGTCCCCACATGATTCAGGTAAGCTACCCATATTGTCATTTGTCTTTCAGAAGGCAAATCCTCTCTGGAGGAAAGTATCACTCAGATACCCTCATACATAATATCCAACCTTTCATTATGACCTAAAGAGTGAAAGTCAAGAGAAACAATAGCCAAACGAAGCAGACCTGCAGATGATTCACACACTATGGGCACTGAGAGAAAAGTTTAAATTTTTATGAATAATATGCACAAAAAACTGAATGAAATAATAAAGAATTTCACTGGTATAAACACAAAGAAAATAACATTAGCATATCAGAGTGCAACTGCTGAAAATCAAAGAAAAAGAAGAATCTTACAAGCAGTAAAATAAATAATGTCTATGAATCAACAATTAAGTTTCCTCCAAAAGCTCAACAGAATAAATGGAAATTGGATGACAATAAAATGATATTTTTAACATGTTCAAATAAATAATTGTTGATCTAGAATTTTGAATATGCAGCAAAAAGCTGTCTTTCACAAATGAAGTTGAAATAGATACTAAGAGATCTATACTAAAGAAATATTAAAGGGAATTCTTTGAGCAGAAGCGAAATGTCTCAAATAGAAGCACAATGATGCAGAAAGAAATAAAATATAACAAAAAGGTTAAAATGTGAGGAAATCTAAATAAATACTGTTAATGAAACAATACGAATATCTTGTGAGATTCAAAATATGTGACACAGCACAGAAGGCGGAAAGAGAATAAAAAGAAGCTAAAATCTTTTAAAATCTTTGCATTGTCTGAGAAAAAGTAAAGAAATTAATTTGAGTTGGTTTTTAATAAGAACTCATGGTATAATCTCCAGGGAAAGCACAAAAAATAAATCTGCAGATCTAGCAGAGGGGGAAATGAAAAGTTTAAAATGATTCAAAACAAGAAAAGAAAAAGATTAAATATATAATTAAAAGAAAACAAATAGGAAGATAATAGGATCAACCCCAAATATATCAATAATAGCATTAAAAGTAAATGAACTAAATATTTCAATTAAAAGATGAAGATTTTAAGACTGGATAATAAATCAAAACTAACTATATACTGCTTATAAGTAGTATAATTTAAATATAATAACCTAGAAAGGTTGAAAGTAAAAGAATGAAAAAAGAGAAACCTCGCAAACACTAACCCAAAATCGTCGATACGTAGCTTTACTAACACTAGACAAACTAGATTTTAAAACAAGAGGTATTGCTAGAGATAAAAAAGAACATTTCTTAACGATAAAAGGTTCAGTTGAACAGAAAGATGCAATACAATGCTAAAGGTAAATGCAAAATTTACATTTACCTAGTAACAGACTCAAAAGCAATACTTGTAAGTCTAAGTAGACTGAAGTACAGAGATAGAATCTGTAAACCAAAAACTCCCCACAAAGAAAAGTCCAGGACTGAATGGCTTCACCTGTGAATTCTACCAGATATTTACAGAATTAATACAACTTCTTCTCAAACTCTTCCAAACGGTAGAATGCTTTCTAACTCATACTATGAGGCCAGAATTAGCCTGATAAAAACCAAAGCTATCATGACAAAACTATGAATACAGACACAAAAATCCTCAATGAAATATTAGCAATTTGAGTCTGAACATAAAAAGGATCTACACTATGACCAAGTGAGATTTATCCAAGGAATGTAGAATTGGTTGAACACATGAAAATAAATTAATAAATTATATCAATTGAATAAAGAACAAAAACCACATGACCATCTCAACAGATGCAGAAAATGCATTTTACAAATTCAACAGCGTTTAATAACTGGAAGTAGTCAACAAAGTAGGAAAAGAAGAGCTTTTCCTCATTCTGATAAAGGGCAGCTATGAACAAGGCACAGCCAAAATCATACTTAACGATGAAAGACTGAAAGCTTCTCCACTAAGATCAGGACGAAGACAAGGATGTCTGCTTTTACCACTTCTTTCAATATTGTTTGGGAAGTTCCAGCCAGGGCAAATAGGCAAGAAAAAGAAATAAAAGGCATATGACTGGAAAGGAAGAAATAAAATCATCTCTCTTTGCACTAAAAAACTATTAGAACTCATCTACTAAAAACTATTAGAATTAATAAATGAGTTCAGTAAGGTTGCAGGATACAAGATAAACAAAATCAATTGTGCAACAAACAATTAAACATACAACTGAGAAAGCAGTTCCACAGTGGCTGGGGAGAGTAGGGAAGGTGAGGAGGAAAGGGAAAGGTCAGTCAACGGGAATATCAAGTTACGGTCAGATAGGCAGAATAAGTTCTGCTGTTTTAATGCACAATAGGGTGATCGTAATTAACAACATGGCATTATATACTTCATAATAGCTACAAGAAAGGATTGTGAATGGTCTCATCACAAAGAAATGATAAATGTTTCAGGTGATGGTTTTGTTAATTTACCCTGATTTGATCATTATATAATGAATACATGTACTGAAACAACACACTGTTTCAGTGGGTCCTCAAACTTTGTTTTAAATGACTAAAACATTAAATGATTAAATATCTGATATAATTTATTAATTTATTTTCAAGTGTTAAACCAACCTTGCATTCACTTGGTCACAGCGTAGATCTTTTTTATGTTGCTGTATGGGGGTCATGATGAACAAAATTTTTAAAATCCCAGTTCCATTCATAATAGCATCAGAAAGGATAGAACATTTAGAAACACATTTAACAAAACAAGTGCATACTGATCCCTTTGTAGTTTCTAAGTATGATGATCAGGTTTTCATACTCATGTGTGAGATATACCTCCCTCAAACCTCATTAGGACATCAGCACATTACCCATCTGACATAAAAATAAAAAAGAAAAAAGGAAAAAAAGATAAAAGAAAGAAATGCAAACTTTGTCTCTGAAAATTATAAAAAATTATTGAAAGAAATGAAAGACATAAACAAATAGAAATATGTCCTGTGTTCACAGATCAGAAGACTTAGAACTGTTATGATGACAGTATCTTCCCAACTGATCCACAGGTCGAATGCTACCCCTAGGAAACTCCCAGCTGTCTTTTTTTTTGCAGAAATTAGTAAACTGATACTAAAACTCTTATAGAAATGCAAAGGACTCTGAAGAGTCAAAATAATCTTTAAAAAGAAAACGAAAGTTGGAAAATCCACACTTCCTGATCTCAAATTTGACTACAAAGCAATAGTAATCAAGGCACTATAGTGCTGGCTTAAGTACAGACATATGGATTACTGAACAGGACTGAGAGTCCAGAAATATAAATCCTCACACTTGATTTTCAAGAAGGGTGCCAAGATAATTCAAGAGGAAAGAATCATTTTTGCAATAAATGGTGCTGGGACAATTGCATATCCACATACGAATAAACAAAACTCAAACGTACAGAGTTTCATTAACAAATGAATCAGAGACCTAAATATAAGACTTTAAAACTGTTAAAAAAAAAAAGACACAGGAGTAAATCTTTGTGATGTTAATTTAGGCAAAGCAGTCTTAACTACAATACCAACAGCACAGGATTTTAAAAAATGGATAAATTGGACTTATGAAAATTAAAAACTTTTGTGCTGTAAATAAAACCATCAAGAAAGTGAGAAGTCAACCCACAGAATCAGAGAAAATATCCGTGGATCATTTACCTGCTGAAGAGTTTATATTAAGAATAGGTAAGGAACTCTTATAAAAAGAAACATCTTTTAAAAATAGACAAAGAATGGCCGGGCGCGGTGGCTCAAGCCTGTAATCCCAGCACTTTGGAAGGCCAAGGCGGGTGGATCACGAGGTCAAGAGATCGAGACCATCCTGGTCAACATGGTGAAACCCCGTCTCTACTAAAGATACAAAAACTTAGCTGGGCATGGTGGCGCGTGCCTGTAATCCCAGCTACTCAGGAGGCTGAGGCAGGAGAATTGCCTGAACCCAGGAGGCGGAGGTTGCGGTGAGCCGAGATTGCGCCATTGCACTCCAGCCTGGGTAACAAGAGCGAAACTCCGTCTCAAAAAAAAAAAAAAAAATAGACAAAGAATCTGTAAAGACATTTCTCAAAAAAAAAAAAAAAAAAGATATACTGGTGGCCAATAAATCTATGATGCTTACTGTCATTAGTCATTAGGGAAATGTCAATCAAAGCCACAGTGAAATACCACTTCACACTCACCAGAATGGCAAGAATCAGAAAGACAGATAATACATGGCAAGGGAGAAAATGGAATCCTCATACACACTGATGGGAATGCAAAATGGTGCAAACACCTAGGCAAGCAGTTTAGCTGTTTCTCAAAATATTAAATACAGAGTTATTATACAATCCAACAATTCTACTCCTAGGTATATACTCAGGAGAAATAAAAACAGATGTACACAAAAACACTTATATACAAATGTTCAGAGCTGCATTTTTCAAAATAGCCCCAAAGTGGAAACAACTCAAATGCCCATCAGCTGATGAACAGATAAAATGTGGAACACTCACAATAGAATATCATGTGTGAATAAAAAGGAATAAAATACTAATACTGCAACACCATGGAGGTACCTTGAAAATATTATGCTAAGTGAAAGAGATACCACAGAAGAACAAATATTTTATTATTCCACTTACATGAAACGTCCAAAAGAAGCAAATTTAGAGAAAGAGATTAGTGTTTGCCTTGTAGTAGAGATTAGTGGTTGCCTTGGGGGAAAGAGGTTAGGGAGAACTGGGAGTCTCTGTTCATGTACAGGGCTTCTTTGGGGATGATGACAATATTCTAATATTAGGCTGTACACACAACTCTGTGAATATCCTAAAAACCACTGAGTTGGGTGCTTCAAATGGATAAACTGTCACACTTTAAATGGGTGAAATGTATGATGTATGAATTACATTGCAATAAAGCTATTTTTAAGAACTTACATAAAGTGTGGCCATTATAAAAACATTCTTAAGCACTGAAAAATCATATTCTGCCATCTTGTATGCATCATTTAGTGTCTACCACAAGCCTGGGCATGTACTCTAAACAGTATCATCACGTTTGTTTCCCTTTCACCATCCACTACACAGTGTCTACAATAGTTTCTCACACACGGCAGATGACCACTGTTGTTTCATTATTGGACCTTTGCTTAGGAAATGCTTTCCTCATAATCTAAAACAAACTTGAACTCAGTAACAATATCCACAAATGCCAAATCCATGATGAATGGCCTCACAAAATGCCCCTTTGTAAATTTTTTGAAGTACTGTATTGAAGTTTGACTGCTGGCTACAATCCACCCCCACTGCTGGAGTGCAGTGACATGATCATGGCTCACTACAGCTTCAACTTCCCAGGCTCAATCAATCCACCCACCGCAGCCTGCCCAGGAGCTAGGACTGCAAGTGTGCATCACTGCACTCAGCTAACTTTTTTGTTTTTTTTGTAGAGACGGGGTCTTCCCATGTTGCCCAGGCTGGTCTTGAACTCTTGAGCAAAAGCAAGGAATTACAGGCCTGAGCCACCTCGCCCAGACCTAAGAAAACTATTTAATAGAAAAAGTTTATGGCTATTGATGTTACAAATGAAAAGCTAATACACTGTTTACACTTAATAATTTCAAATTTGCAAAATATAAAAGTGCCAAATGTATAACCTGACAGCAGAATCAAACAATGTAAACACAATGCATAAAAAGTATATATTTAAATTAAAAGGTTTTTTTCCATGATCACTTGAAAACAATAAAGCCTTTATGTCAGTTTATTTTAATAAGGAGGTGTGAGCAGAAAAGGATGGTCCTTTTATAAACCATATTTGAAATAAAGCTGGAAATTAACTTTCTTTTTTCTGGGGAAACCGGGAGAAACAAAGTTGTGAAGGAGAAGAGGAAGGATAGCAGAAGTCATCAAAACACGCTGGTCTTGTAGCAGTCCACGTTTCATATTACTTTCATATTATTCTTCAATTTTGACTCACCAAGTCTATGGAATCTACTAATGGCTGGTTTGGTTGAAGTACAGAGTCCTCATTTTCTTCATTCTCTTTGCAAGGCATTTGCTTGGAAGGAAGCAAGTTATACCATAGAGTGAAAACCTCATTTGAAAATGGTAAATCTGCCAGGCTAATCTGAGTTCCAGCCTATGTAAGCGAAAGAAAACAAGAAAAGAGAAAATGAAACGTTTAAATTAACATTTGTTCTGATATAAAGAAGATTATTGAATGAGCTTGTTTAAGGGTAAAAAAAAATACAATTCTCATGACATAAAGCATTGCTGGATTTTTTAAAACATGGAGATATGTTATATTTTCAGCTGTTACTAAATAAGAAATAACCCCCAATCTAAAAGCTAATCCTGGGATTAGTTTGTGAGATACTATTTTACGAAGACCTAATGGCTAAGCATGCCTTTTTGTAAATGTAAAATTATTATTATTATTATTGTTATTACTGAGATGGAGTCTTGCTCTGTCTCCCAGACTGGAGTGCAGTGGCACAATCTCAGCTCACTGCAACTTCCACCTCCTGGATTCAAGTGATCCTCCTACCTCAGCCTCCTGAGTAGCTGGGATTACAGCCACGCGTGACAACACCCAGCTAATTTTTGTATTTTTTAGTAGAGCTGGGGTTTCACCATGTTGGCCAGGCTGGTCTCAAACTCCTGACCTCAGGCGATCCGCCTGCCTTGGCCTCCCAAAGTGCTGGAATTACAGGCGTGAGCCACCGTGCCTGGCCTCATGGTACTTCTTATAATATGCTGTAAAGATGACTTGATTATTACTCACAAACAACCCATTATCCACTGAAAAACAAATAAACACTCCACTTTGGTTATTGAATAAGACATCAGATAGCAATAGTTTTCTTTGGATTCATAAGTTAGGAAAATGGCAAAAAAAGTAAAGGATAAAGGCTTTCATATTCTACCAAATCACACATAGCAAAAATCTAAATTAAGTTATACTCTTCTTTAAGGCTATCAATTAACATATTTATGAACTTTATTGGAGCCTCTGACATCTATAATACTAAATATGACATCTACTCGAGTAAACCCTTTATGATAGCCTAACAAGTCTGTGATCTTTGCTTCTTTCTAACTTTATTGTCAGACAGTATCATCAGACATTTTTTTCAAGTAAAGAAAACAAGAAATAAAATTAAGAAGAAACCTACCACTCTTACACTTTGTTCATCATGAAACGTGTGTTTCTGTGCTTCCCACTGGACTGCAGAGAAAAGCTCAGTTGGAGACTCACATTGTATTTTGAACACATGTGCACATCTCTAGATGCCTGCATTTGAATATCTATGTAACTTTACTGGGAACTGGTGGTTTTTTGGTTATATGCATACAGTGTGTAAAACTCACAATTAGTGGGAATTCTTCTGTTGCAGCATTTAGATTTCATATTGCTCTAAAGAGTAACACCATGTCTTCCCAAAACTCCAATACTATGGTGGGAGAGAATGAGCTGAATAAGGGTACTATATAGTACTCGTGGTCTTGCTTAATTTTAATTTGTAACAGTGAATTATGTGGGGATGTCTTTTTGATATCTGGCTTCATCGTTTCCTAGTTGTCTGACCGTAGTATAAATTACCTCTCTAAGCAGCCCCTTATCTGAAAATACTGGATAATCATCTGTTTCATAACCAATCTTTCATCAGGTTGTCATGAGGATTAAATGAGATAATACACACACAGCACTCACACAGGGCTTGTCATTGGCACTGGGAGTGATAAGCACACTCCACGAGTGATAGTTATCTCAGAGGTAAAGTTCCTCTGTGGTTAAAAGGCAGAAATAGAAAGCAGCTTTTATAGAAAATCACAATCTATAAGCAGATTTTAAAGGTCTGGATTAAGAGAATGAACAGAAACCACTACAGGAATAATGTGTCCCAAGATGCTGGGCAGGTCTGTAGGGGTTTCTAGGGCTGGCAAAATAGCAACTACAAAATATCTTCTCAGACCATCCTATCGTAAGTGTTATCTGATAGTGGGAATTATGAAGAACCTTACCAGGCATTCTTCCCTCCGGTGTTTACTGACAGAGCAAAGGTCTACTCTCAGTGTCTTCTGTTGTAAGGCTGTTTGGGAAATGGCGACTCTGAACACATCATTGAACAAAATGGATTCCATGGGCGGATGAACTTTTGTGCGAAACAGACAGCTGACATCAGTTGAAGAGGGAAGAACGGCAACCCTAAAATATCTGCAAAGAAGAAGAATAAAATGGATTTCATAGGTACTTTAATTATATCAGATTCACAGCTATCATGTGAAATTATCTGCAAACAGAGAAAATGAGAGATCATGGAGTTCATTATCAATCTACAGTGTTGTTGCCATCATGGGTCCGTGCTCAGCTGCATAGATGCTCTGTTCTTAACCCACCCAAGCTGACTACGCCCCTGAGCATGCAACGGCCCAGCCTCCACTCACCACGAGACTGCAGCAAAGGCACATAATAGGAAAGTGAAGAGGAAGAAAGTCCGTGGGGCAGACGAATTTAACGTCCCACCTGCCCCATGTACAGCCAATTCCAAAACAAGTTATTTCTGAGCCTGGGAAGGGAGGAACACACTAAGTAGATACTGGCGACTCTATCCCAAAGAACCCTCATCCTGAGTGCTAAACAAGAGATGCCGATGATCACTTCCCAGGAACGGAATACATTATCCTACTAGAGAAAAAGAAAGGCTAAGTAGCATATCGTTAAGAAAATTTAAAACAGATGAAATAACAGTTCAAAAATATCACGGTCTAGCATCTCCGAAGTCTGAGATATGACAAACTGTTTTAAAAGAGTCTTGTGCTTTGCAAAATTAAGAGTTACAGAAAAACAGTAACTTCTAATACTACTTTAAAGTGACTTTTCTGAGCATACATTATATGAGGACCCACAATTCTTAGAAACAGTACAAGGTAATTTCTTTAAATCCCAGAAAGAGAATACTGCTAACTCTATCCCCTCCACCCTCATTTCCAGGTTTATCTAATCTGTATTCTAAAACATGCCTTTCTCCAGTTAGAAAAACTCTAATTCAAATGTAGAACTGAGGAATGTCATATTATTTTGTATTTCATATCAGTATTAATTATGGAGATTCAGCACTGAAAATCTAGTGGGCCTCAGGCCACTGCCATTGATTAGGCCTTACCAAGACACAGCTCACTACCCCTGGGAGGCCAAAGATTCAGCAGAAGAAAATCTTTTCTCCACTTTCATGGAAAAGTAATAAAGGAGAAGTATATTAGGGTGGCCATGGAGGGAAGGGATCTTGTGTTTCTCCAATCTTTATATTTTACACAGTTAAAGGCCAAGTACACGAGGGAAAGAAGGCAGTTCCCTCATTCTGTTGTTAGGGGTGGGTGTGCATGTGGGGTGCATCTCTTCAAACTGGAGTCCAGCAAGCCATGAGCCACTCACAAAAATACTGTGGCTGTTGTCAACCAGATGAAGCATAAACTCTGCTTGTCACAATTAATAATCAAAAAATCACTTTTGAAGTTGGGAAAAAACCAATTTTAAGAATATTTCATACTAACTGTCATATTTAGCAGTGTCATTATTTAGGCCAAGGCTTTTCTATATGGGTTTAAGGAAAATTGCTATATATGTCAGGAAGGTTCACACCAACTCAACAGGTGCCTGCACACTAGCTGGGGAGCAGAAGAGCAATGTCTACTCATCGGTTGGGCTGAGTATTTATTGTTCCTACACCACGCTGGTATCACCATGCCTTCGGAAGGGACTTTGTGGCATCCTAAGAGGTAAGTGAGAATGGCCGTGAGTGGTTTAGTTGAAGTAGAGCATACTGTAGGTGCACCCTCACAGAGAGTTTAGAGAAAGTGTGCGTTCTTAGGTGTTCTGTAGTTTTCTCCTGAAGTTGTGCATTAGTTCTCACTGTTCACTGGTAGATTTGTCTTCTCCGTGATCTGCTTTACTAAAAGGACACCAATGGCATGCTCCAACATCACAGCTTATTTATCAGTAGGGAGAAGTCACAGATTATACCAAGCCAGTCTTTCTGGACACCACTGGCTGTGGTTTTCATCTCAGGCCTGGGAAGCAGGCTCTCTGTGTTGATTCAGGCACGTCCACGTTACGCCTGCTCTCCTCACTGGTCTCACTAATGATGCGGACAGCCCATGCCTTGATCCTGCAAGTTCTCTAAGCTCACCCTCCTCCTGGAATCCTATCCTACCTCCAGCTTTGACGCTTGTCAACACATTAAAATCTACTATCTCAACACATTAAAATCTACTATCTCAACACATTAAAATCTACTATCTCTTGGTGGCTCATGCCTGTAATCCTAGCACTTTGGGAGGCTGAGGTGGGAGAGCCCAGGGAGTTCAAGACCAGCCTGGGCAACACGGTGAGACCCCATCTTTAAAAAAAAAGAAATCCATTATCTCTATTGTCAATTACATAATCCCTATCTAGTTCTTTTTCTCTTAGATCCAGTTTCTTCTGACAATTACTGGAATGTTAGGATGTGAACTTACAAGTCTGTCGGAAAAACATCCAGAACTCTTAAATTTATTCTATTCCAAGTCCTATCGCTAAGGAATATACTCTATCATTTAAAAAGAACCATTCACCTGGCTGGATATGGAGTCTTGGGGATCACCCCTCAACAGCTCTTTTTAAATTTCCAAACCTTTACACTGCATATTCAAAATATTATTAAGATCCACCTCTTACAGAAGTTTCAATGCAGAGTAGACATGTATATTCCGGATTCTATATCAGAGGTGCTAAGTGTAAATCTGGATTCTTCCCAGTACTTTCTAGCCATAAGCCCTTCAGAGTCACTGAAATTCTGATGTGATTGGTGGTGTCTAAGACTTCTAGACTTATCTATCAGGAAATTAACAGTCTCTAAGCAATGGACTGCAGCATGACGTCACCGCTTGTTGGTATTCTTGGTTTGATAAAGTGAAATAACTTTAAGAGCTCACTGGTCACAGGGAAGTAAATGCTTGAAGATAAAAACATGCTCCCAACAATCATATGAAAAAATGCTCATCGTCCACTGGTCATCAGAGAGATGCAAATCAAAACCACATTGAGATACCATCTCACTCCAGTTAGAATGGCGATCATTAAAAAATATGGAGACAACAGATGCTGGAGAGGATGTGGAGAAAAAGGAACACTTTTACACTGCTGGTGGGAGTGTAAATTAGTTCAACCATTGTGGAAGACGGTGTGGCGATTCCTCAAGGCCTTAGAAATAGAAATTCCATTTGACCCAGCAATCCCATTACTGGGTATATATCCAAAAGACTATAAATCGTTCTACTATAAGGACACATGTACACGAATGTTCACTGCAGCACTGTTTACAATAGCAAAGACCTGGAATCAACCCAAATGCCCATTGATAATAGACTGGATTGGAAAAATGTGGCACATATACACCATGGAATATTATGCAGCAATCAGAAATGATGAGTTTGTGTCGTTTGTAGGGACATGGATGAATCTGGAGAACGTCATCCTCAGCAAACTGACACAAGAACAGAAAATGAAACACTGCATATTCTCACTCATAGGTGGGTGATGAAAAATGAGAACACATGGACACAGAAAGGGGAGTACTAAACACTGGGGTCTATTGGGGGGAAAAGGAGAGGGCCAGTGGGAGGGGGAGGTGGGGAGGGATAGCCTGGGGAGAAATGCCAAATGTGGGTGAAGGGGAGAAGAAAAGAAAGCACACTGCCATGTGTGTACCTACACAACTGTCTTGCATGCTCTGCTCATGTACCCCAAAACCTATAATCCAATAAAAAATTAAAAAAAAAAAAAAAAAAAAAAAACATGCTCTTACATATAGCATGATAAAATGCTTGACTGGCAACGTTGTACTGATAAATAAAATTTAATCACTACATTTTAATGCAAAAGATCAGAAAATTCCTTAAACAACAGTAGTAACAATTACACAATAACAAAAATTTTACTCATATTTCAATCAAATTCCAACACAGCGTAATACAGTATTTCTGGTTACAAAAAAGAGATTAAAATTCTTGGCTTCCATCCTTAAAAAGAATCAGCTGAGTAAGAATGAAAACCCAGTATGCCCTTCCTCACATTTTCCTTGTCATCTGCATCTACCACTTAGTAGACGTGCTCAGCCCTGCCGTGTCTTTTCCACATCCTCACTTTGATGAACTATATGATTACAGTGTAAAATTCTCTTACATGGAAATTTTTAAATTCCTCAATTTGATCTTCACTGATTTTACTTACACGTTTGAAGTATGAGGTATCAAGAAGGCATGAAGGTTTCGGAGTTGTGCTATAATCACCATGAAACGTGAACTTTTTGCATTGTATCTGTCAAAAGAGAGGCTAAATGAAGTCAGAAATCACCACAGGCCACTCACCCTGCACAAACGTCAGAACTGCTCCTTTCCCATGCACGTTCCTTACCTGAGTCCTATCTGAACCTGGGCAGTTTCTACAATGGCAACATCCTCTTCACTGTATGTGACATCTTCAATTTCACTAGGTCTATATGGACAGGGAGTAGATGAACAGTTAACTAATGGGGTTATCGACTGTTATGGTTACAGTTTGCCACTTAGTGATTCTGAATGAAAACCCGAATTAACATCACCCATAGGCCCACCCAGTGGAACTGACGCCAGTGAAAGCTTACTGTTTTAGAGGCTTTCTCTTTTCAAGAAGAGTCTGCCTCTGGGCTTTCGGGCAAAGCCTTTCTGATGACTGCTTTCTTTATTACTAGAAATATACCACACCCTAGAGACATCCCAGGCTTTCGGAAATACACAGGAGAAGCTTCATGTGCCAAACAGGGTCTGGTGAATTTTTCCAATATTTCCACTAAAACAAAGGTTTTTATATTTTAAAGAGGGTCAGTTGCCTCTGGGTACACCAATCTGCTTATCATTCCCATGGCTAAGTCATTTTTGACATACTGCAATTTTCAGGCACACTACTTCTTTAATGGCTGAAGTCCTTACTATGCCAAAGAGTGGACTCATGGTAGCAGGACATTTACAGCATGTAACCCACACCCACGGCTGAGGAGACGGCTGCAGCTAACAAGCACCCCTGCTGAATCCTTACTGTTTCATGAAAGCTTCATAGACCCCACTGTCTCCAGCCACAGACTCATCAGATACAGCAGCCGACACACAAGCGGTTTTCTCCCCAAGCAGATGGATCACTCTTCTTTTTGGTAATGATTTTTCCACATCTATGAAGGGGAGAGCAGTCATGAGAACGTCTTATTCGGAACAGTTAAGTATTAAATACATACACAGTTTGGTCATGAGTGATCCAAAAGAAGATTTCCTTCTGGGAGTCAAGGATGTTAATATTCAAATCAACAGATATAAACAATTTCAAGGCACTATGACTTTTAAGATTCCTGGGACACCAGTTATTTCAGTCATTGTTTGGAAGAGAATATGGTTTTTCTCTGCCCTGAAATGCTTTAAGGGAAGGGGTGAATTACACGGATTCTCACTGGTCCTCAGTCTCTTTCTGTCAAGCATTCACCGCAGTTTTCACATATTCAGGAACAGGAAATGATCTATCTCCCTCAAGGGACATTTCTATCAGAGAGCTTCTAGCTACTCAGTGGACAAGTTCCCACCTCTTTTGCTCTCCCCTTCTCTCCACATGCCACATTCTGTATCTCCTGCGCCACTATTCTAACGGAAATTAAGAAAAAATGTCTTTGACTTACAGGAACTCTGCACCAGCTAATACCATTAAAAAACGTCTTGTGCTACTGAATCTTTAGCACCAATGACCACTTAACTTTTATCTCTAACTCATATTCATACACCAGCATCCTGCAGTGAGCAAGGAGCATTCATTTAAGGCTGTGCTCTGTACCATAATGAGCTGCACGCCTGTGGTGCTCTTTCATCCTCCAGTGAGTGAGAGTGAGTGCGGGATCTGCATTGGTATGCATTTCGGCCCCCTTCTGAGTCGTGACTTTACATCTTGTTAAGATGTTTAAGTTTTAAGGCTTCAGATTACAGGATTGATTGCTGCATTTTCCCTTTTATTTCTGGCAGTGGGAATGCTTTTTCCTTGATGATGAAGTGCCTTCTCTTCGCCCACCCCCCTTTGTGAGGGGTGAAGGTGATGACATGATTTATTGATTACCCCCAGGAATAACCACAGCAGCCTGAAATTGACTTTGACAATGACAGAGACCGAATGTGGAAGGCCTTCGTAGTTATTCCAATGGGGTTGCTGCCATCCAGCAGGGATTGGCACCGGAGAGCAAAGTTTACATAAAAGGGACTTGGCTTTACCTGCCTAAGCCTCTAGAGCACTGAGGGAGATGACAAACATCCCTGATAGGGAGCTATCCACCCCCACATGCAGGGCAGATGTCCCCTGAAAAAAAGTGTTGGTGACCTAAAGAGAATTCATCTTTCTTTTTTTTGAGATGGGGTCTCACTCCTGTCACCTAGGCTGGAGTGCAGTGATGCAATTTCAGCTCATTGCAGCCTCGATATCCTCCGGCCTCAGCCTCCTGGGTCCACAAGTGTGCACCACCATGCCCAGCTAACTTTTGAGAATCAGTCTTTGTACTTAAATATATGCTTTCAGTTGTTTTCAGACATGCTACTGAATATTATCCGCAGTCAAAGCTCCTGCATATATTTTCTCTCACGGTAACACTTTAACAGCAGTTTTCTAATATATGCATTTAAAAAAGTTAAAAATGGTCTCACAGAAGCTTCAGAGATACCTGTCTCCAGCCACGAACTTTTCAGACACAGCAAGACCCGAGTGTCAGGAGCAAGGCGTGGTCCAACCAGACACTTGCAGGAAAGGACTCTCAGGCCTCAGGATTACTGGGTGGGTGACAGACCTTAGGCCATTTTTTCTCTGATCACTCTCCCCGCTTCTCCGGCATCCAGCCTCACTTACTGCCCCTCCAAATTGACTGAACATTAGAAATGGTCACTAGATACCACTCCAAATACAGAAAGACCAAAACTGGCTTGAAAGGTCAAGAAATGTTAGTTCAGAGCACAGGAAGGAATGCTGGCACCCAGAACATTCCATCTTTTACTCTTTCTTCTCATAGCTTTCCATGGTTCATGCTAAGAACTGTATTTAGCCAGCTGGTATTACTTATCATCATCACTGTCACAGAGTACTCATAATTACATGAACTATGTGCTGAGTGCCAGATACTGTTAGGTGCTTCATATGTATCGCCGCATTAATCCCTCAGTCTGACACGAGGATTACTGTAGCAACCCCATTTTGCAGATAAGGAACCATAAGCCTGAGCAACTGGGTAGCGTGTTTACCCGAACATGGTGGTGACTAAAATGTGAGTGGAGGCTTGGCTGGTTCCAGGAGTGGTGTGCACCCCTCACACACACACATACACACACACACACACACACACACCCACACTCCTTCCCAGAAGCAGTGGTGAGTCCTCACGTGGCTTTCTGTTTTGTTGGGGCCATTATGTACACACCATTCCCCTGGTTATTTAATTCTTTGTGGTTATTTCCACAACCCATTACTTGTAGTTCTGACATCTCCCCAGGAGGGGCGCACACACCATACAAATGTCTCATGGGCCCTCCCTCTGCCCCAGGCCAGTAGCAGGGCACAGCACTTTGGTCTTCAGTATTTGCAACCACAGAAACAAGCTGGATTTGTCAATGTCTTTAAACATCTGAATTGGCCAATCAATTACTCAGAAATCTTAGGAGCATACATACAAATAAAAATGCTTCTAGCAAGAGAGCACTTCTAAAGAGCTCTGCCCTCTTTGTGTGGTCAGTAAAACATGTGCTATGAACAGGACTCCCGTAGACTATCACCGGAGCTTTTATTTCACATTTTGTCTCAAGCTAGCTCTGGAACAGATCATCCTCCTCAGACCACAACAGTGCTCATCTGCCAACAAGAGTACCATCCTGAGCTCTTTACAGTCGCATCTAACATACTCAAAGTTCCTGCTTTGCAACGGAAAACAAACAGACAAAAATGATATTCTTCCTGTTTCTGTCTGTTTGAATACAAATGCAGGCCTAAGAATGCCAATCTCTTGTCTCTTCCTGAGGCTGCAACTGTTAACCTGGCCAGAAGGTGGCAGGGCAATACCATCTGCTGCAACCTGCTGTTCCAATTAACTTTCCACAGAAAAGGAGTCTGGCTTGAAACAAAAACTGTATTTATCTAGAATTCCCTGAACAAAATAAACACTGAACCTTGGTACTAATCAGCTAGTATGTTAATTGCCTTGGTTTTCATCTGTTTTAGGCCAACTTTTAAAAGAAAACCCCCTTCTTTGCCTTGCTATTTCACAAGAATCAATTTGGAAATATGAAATGTGTTCACAAAATATGTTCCCAGTCAGCCACTACACACAGAGTGTCCCTGGACAACTGAAAAGGCACTAAATGATTAAGTCTATTAAATAGGGAAGGTAATTTTTATTTGACAATGAAAAATATCTAGGTATATAAATAAAAACTCCTTAAATGAAGCCAAAACGATTACTCAAAAGAGAGAGAAGAGGAATCACACCCTTTTGTTTAAATGGAAAAATAACCCTCCAATCGTTCTCCTTAAACTCACCAAGAGGGATGAGAGCAAAGGTCTGCATTTACCTGAGGTTCCTCCATATAATGGCTCCCTGGCACAGTCATTGAGGTCTTTATCCTCTGAAAGAGACTGGGAGGCTCCTCCTGAATCAGAATCCAGCAAGATCTGATTTTCAACGAGACTGAGATCTGCAAAATGGCTCCTCAACTCACAGTCTTCAAAGTCAGCAGTGAACTGATGGAGAGAGGCACCATGAGAAGACATGGGAAACGTGCCTTCCAAAACCAAGGGAGAGCCCGGAGGAGACAAGGAGGAAAGGGAGGACCTCGAGGACAGGGAGGTCACAGACTTGGGGGCCTCAGCCAGTGGAGGAGTGTGGCCTGTTGCTGCAGCCGCCACCCCACAGAGTCCACTCTGGCCAGGCTGACTGGGGGACTTGACCACCTCATTTTCATGGATGGTGGTGATGGGTCCGGAAGGAATGTAACCGCTTTTCTCTTGCAGAAGGAAGTCCAGTTTATACTGATAATCCACATCTATCTGATCACTTGGACTGCTGTAATAAAGCTCAGTAGAACTGAGGGAGTTGAGTGACCCTCTGCTGGAGGTGTTCAGAGAGCCCCGACTTGATGCCAGGGAACCCAGGCTGCTCCCAGATGACATGGACAGGGTGCTGGCGGAGAGACTGAAAGATGAAAAGCACACACCATAAAATCTGTTGTAAAATGGAAAACCTAATCACAATCCCTACTGGCTCCTACAGATCTGCAGAGGGAAGAAACCTGCTAAAGAGCAGAATCAATGCCCAGGGCCAGAGGAACTCCCTATCACGGCCATGTGTCAGTTAACGACCAGGTCGAGTTCTGAGAAATGCATGGTTAGGTGATTTCATCAATGTGCAAAAGAGTGTCCTTATACAAACCTAGATGGTACAGGTACTGTACATCTAAGCTATATGGTATAGCCTATTGCTCTCAGGCTACGAACCTGCACAGCAGTTGCTGTACTGAATACTGGAGGTAATGATAACACAATGGTACCATTTGTGTATCTAAATGTAGCTAAACTAGAAAAAGTACAGAAAAAATACAGTATTATAAACTTATGGGACCACCATCACATATGCAGTCCAGCCTTGACCAAAAAGTAATTATGCGGTACATAATAGTATACCAAGTCTATGCTTACTCACTGACATTTTCAGCCTTGCTCTCCAAATACTCTTTAAGTAGCAAATCTATTCTTATTAAACATCATCCTCCTGTTGCAAAAAGAAAAAAAAGAATCAAATACCTGTTGGTAAGTTTATTTGCACAGGCATCTAAAAGGCACTTTGCAATTAAAAAAAATATTGAAAGGGGAAAAAAAAGAAACAGGGCAAAGGTGTTAACATAGCTTTTTCATTTAAAAAAAAAAAAAAACCTTTTTATTTTTAGGGAAAAGAAGGCAAGCTTATAAAAAGAAAGCAGTTATACAAAAGACCCTTGGGTTCACTCACCTTTCCTCTTTGTGTGTCAATGTGAGGAGTGAATATTTTTCTAATCAATGTAAGGAAATCTACAGCTATTTTAAGGCAAAACTCCCCCACTTTCCCTTTTTAAAAAATGGAGCAATAGTGAAAATGTGTTATTTTCCTAAGCATGTTTTGACAGCTAAAACATATCTTCTTCCTACGACATATTTCAAATGTACTCCAAAAATGACACTGGATTCATGCAAAAGAAAATGTGACTTTAAATTTCATCACTCAAATATTAACTGTACTAGTATAAAGACTTTATTTACTTTTAAGTAGTTGGAAATAAAGTGAAAAGTAATCAAAGATGAACATGAATATGCCTGAAAATACTCAGAGAAAAGTTTTTCCCTCGAAAATCTGATAAGCTCACCTTTTAAGTTGTGAATGCAAATAAGTAGTTAATTTAGTAGTTTCTTCAAGTTTCCGTAGCAGCTCTTTTCTTCTCTCTTCCAATCTCAATCTAGGAAGAAAAAAAGAAATTAATTCATTTTCAAATGAATATAACAAAAATGAAAACTAAAAAGAGAGATTTATATTGTACAAACATTACAGATCTCAAGGGGGAAATCTGAATGGACTCCACAGACAGAAAACAGGACACCCAGCAAGACGTGTCGGAGGCAGGCTACATGCAGCCAGGCTAAAAGATGGGAACGTTATGCCAAATCATCAATGTTACTGAGAGTTTAAACTTGCTGGCAGTCTAGAATCTTTTTAAGTGGGTAAATAATATGGTCCTTTGAGTTGGGAAGAAGAGTGAGGAGGAAAACAACCATGAAAGCAAAAAACTAAACAAAGACTAAGAATCCTGACACAGATCTGTGACTTGGGAATCCTTTCCTAAAACATTTCACAGCAATGGTTAAGATCATCCTAAGTACCGAATTTAGTAAAGCTTCTTCCAAAATAATATTTAGCGATAACATTTCCAACCCTAATTTGATAAGAATTTCAGCAATTAAGAAACAATTTAGTCCACATTACCACTGTGGGCTAATTTGGGCTTAGCCATTCAAAGAAGAAGATGACCTAAAAGTGATTTTCCTTCCAAGCTATAGCCCATCTCATCACCTGCATCGGATTATCATAAAGTTTCATCCACGTTCAACTGCAAAAGTTTTTTTTTTTTTTAATTAGAGTACAGCGTTAGAGAACTGTATACCTGAATAGTAAGTCATTTTACAATATACTAAGTACCTAGGGGTTTATGCAACTAAGAATCTGTGCAAGTACAGTCCATGTCATATGAAGGTCTTTAGACATCATTGAAATAAGCTAGTTCAGAGTAGTGAGCAGCAGAATGGAATTCAGAAAAAGGGCACCTGGGTTTCCAGTCTTGATTTGCAGCTTACTAGCTGCATATCCTTGGTAGGTCACTGACTCAAGGGTCTTACCTTTCTCAACTGCACAATGGTGACTATAATTCCCCTGCGCTTCCCTGGTAAGGCTGTTAAAGGGAGCAATGGAATACTGCATGGGAAAGTGCTCGACAGAGAAGAAAATCTGACTTTTCTAAGACTCAGCATGCCCTGCAAAGTGGTGATATAAAAATTAGCCACTTTTCTTTGGAGAAAAATAACATTTCCTTAATTTCCAATCTCTTTGAAATGTTATTTATGTTTTCGGCAGTAAGAAGACAGGCCCATATTTTATTTATAGGTATCCATCCCTTTGATGTGTCAACAACACTATTCCATTATATGTTAAACTAAAAGAAGTAATTCTTGCCAACTTCTTTAATACTTCAAAAGCGTGATAAATTCTTAATTCATGGCTTTCAAAGGTGCATTTTTAAAAGAAGCATTTTTAAAATCTTTCAAATATAAACAAAAACTCAACAAGGAAAAAAGTAGTATGAACTAGACTGAATTAAACGGTGCACAAAGGTCTAAAGAAAGCCCCCAATTCTACTAAAATCCATGTCTTCTGAAACCAGAGAAACACTTTGGAAGTAAGTTTTAAAACTCAATATTACTTTTATTAAAATGAAGACTTTCTCTAGTGCTTTCAGGACGCACCAGGATGACGTCAGAATATGACCCTGAGCCACACTGAAACTTTCAGTGCAGCTCCTTCCCTGTCACTAGGGGGTGTCCTCAGCCTTCTCCAGGCGATGCTAGACAGCTGCTCTTCCAGCCCTTTAATGTCTGCTTTCAACTACAGATGCCAGTCTTTGTGTTCCTGTTCCCGTTTCCCAGTTAGCTCCTACAGTCCCAGAAGGCAGACATCAGCCCTTTCTCGCTGCAGCACAGGGTGACCTCGCCAGTCCCTCCATTCTTGCTGGTGTTGAGAAGAAACCTTCCCCAGGAGAAGCATGAGGGAGGCACTGGGGAGAGGCACAGACACCCTCCCAGTGGGCCACAGTTGGTCTCTGATGTGATCACCAAAGCATCTCCTAGTGACAGCCCGAAGTCTTCCTTAGAATCTAGGTGTATTTCATGCGAACACCCTCCCCAACTTCCCTGTAACCAGGGGTTAGAAGATATTGCAGACATCAGACCTCTCAAAAGGGTGCACACCTGTCTCTCTTGAGTTCTCCAGCTCCTGCCTTTTGGTCTGCTGGGTGAGAAAGGGTTTCCTTTACTTGGCCCTTAAAAGAGTCCTCCCCCGGGCCCAGCTGCTCCCACGTCTCCTTTCAAGCGGCCCTTTGTGAAGTGTGGGCCTTCACACCTGCCTGCCTCTGCCCTCAGTGCCCTGCAGGAGACAAGCACAGCCTGGTTTCTCCCGAACTCAGAACTCTGCACCTAGGGAAAATTTCATGTCATTTATAGAAGCAGAAAGTCTTTTTTCCACTCAAAACTAAATGACACTCATACCCTCACCTACTTGCTTTAAAAAAATTTTCAGAAGCAGTGGCAAAAACATTCAAATGATTAAGAAACAATTAAGATGTCTTGGCAATTACAACATAAACTCCCAAACTTTGTGAAAAAACAAGGAGCAATATTAAGATCTGACCAGCTATAGAAAAGCACAGAATTTAAGAAATTTCAGTAACTGCATGGAAAGAATACGAAAGATGCACAGAAGCACCTCTCCTGCAAGGCTTGTTCATTTGCGAGCAGTTTCTCTTTTGGCCTGGCATTCCTTCACCATAAGCACCTGTTTCCCACCACTAGGTGGCGAGCACAGTCGCTGCCTTCAGGCCCAGTGGGCGACGCTGCAGCCTGTTGGGGCAGGAACAGAGCTGGGGGCTGGAGGATCACACTCAGAGGCTGAAAGCTCAGGTGCATCTAGCTCTTTCAGAGACCAACATTCAGTAATGACTCAGAATCTTGCCAGAGGTCACCCCTGAAATAATGGGGAACCCCAAATTTAAGTGGAAAACAGGAAAATGTTGAGGAATGTAGCAGGCAGCTCTGACAGTCATGTAGGTACCAAGAAGAAAGGGAAGGATTTGGGGTTGGTGGCACACAATCTGGTCTATGATGAATGAAACTGACTTTCACATAGTGAGTACTATTTGCTCTGGCCAACCCTCCTTTGACCCTGGTGAGACACTGCTGACAAGGGCATTCTCTTCCCTCTTAAAGTCCCAGCATCAGTGCAACAGCAGCAATGAGCAGAGCAAAAACCCACAAAATAGGAAGACATGGTAGGGAGAAGTATAAGAAAAAATGCCAGAGCAGGGGAATAGAAAGCAAAACCATGAACAGCAACAGTAAACCCCAAGGCCAAACGAGGTTGTATCTACTTGGGAAATAAAGGATTCAGTGTTCCCAATAGCAGTAGGTTCTGCTCTTCTGGACCTCAGTACGTGAAATACTGAGTCACTCTGAGCATCCCAGGATAGAGTTAGAAAACTTTAAGTTGGTCAAGCGAGAATGTCTGAGTCCTTCAACCTTTGATGGCAATGTAAGTATGAGGATTTGCCTTTGGCCACTGACACTGATAAGGAAACTCTATCCACTTATTTGGAATACTAAACGACCTGGCTCTTCCAAGTAATTCAGAAAGTCATCATACTACATATATAAAATACATCTGTTTCCCTTCCTGCTAAGATCCAATCGTAGAGACAGGGCCAAGGAGGCATCCACACCACTTACTCCTCCTATGACACAAACCCAGTGGCTGGATCTCAGTAAATACAGGATTTTATAAAAATATCTTATACCTCTTCTTCCTAATGAGTTCAAGCCTACTGTCTCTTGGGCTTTTTGTTAAAAAAAAAGAAAGAAAGAAGCATACTATTTCTGCTGGAATTTTAAGTTACTATGTGTGTGCAAACAAAAGTATAAAGTTTAGGTACTTAGGAAAAAAGTCAAAGTTTAGGTACTTAGGAACAAACTGTTATTTTTAATGTTCCATCACTAGTCATTTTTTGGAAGCTCTACTCGTAATAAAAAAGGCAAGCACCACCCCAATAAAAGCTGATTAAAACAAACAAACATATTTTCTTTCTCTGCCAGAACAAATCTTTTTATAGGTCCTTCCTAGAGTCACCTACTACAAAGTAGAACAGCTGAGCTGGCCATGGCACATTAGACACATACAATTTTATGAAATTGTATTAAGTTCTACGTAGTAGTATGAAACATCATTGGTGCTTTATCCATGGGCCACATAAAAGCTACCCATTTCATCACAGCTACTGATGACTATGAAATGTTTATCCTAGAAACTTTAGGTATACAAATGTAGACATATCAGGGTAATTCAGAAAACAAAACAACAACAAAACAAAGGAATTCTGCCCTGCCCTCTTAATTCTTTTCGTTCCTTTTGGTCTTTGTCAGATGGGGCCTTACTTTGCCAGCCTGCCTGACACTTCCTTAGGCTGACCCTTTGGTCAACACAGTTAGACAGAAAAGCCAGAACAAGAGGGGAAGAAAAGAAGGGGGAATGGGGGCAAAGATGAGTATTATTGAGAGGGTGGAAGAATACAGTTCACAGAGGCTTTTCCTTTGGATACATTTTCATGCTCCCTACAGCTACGACACTGAGGCTGCATGTTACCTTGATCAACAGTTTAAGCCACAGATGTCAACTCTCCTAAAATGGTTAACCTCAGGGTGGGTGAGTCCCCATGCTAACAACACCTAACTGGGAATGTCAGAGACTTTTTCCTCTCTCTCTCCCCCTACTTTTCAAATGTTTTAACATTATTTAGACATGGAACCTTAAACATTTATTGAGGACAAGGAATTAGGAGGCAAGAAGCCAAGAATTTTTTTTTTAAGCAACTGGATTAGGCTGGGTGTTTTAAACTTACTTCCCGGTCACTTGAAATTATATCAGTGTGAATGTTTCCCATCACTCTGAAACGGGAACTGCTCTTTACTGGCTGGCCTAAAGGATGTACATGCAGTGGTTCTCAAGGGTTCTATGGTCTGCCATGAAACAGGCATCCAACCCTTTCTGCCATCAAGGCGTGGACACAGGCTCCTATGCAGATGCATTCATGTCAGACTCACACAGAAGTCCCCTCACTTAACATTCCAGCTCATCTGTTTACAGAACTGGATTTTTTAGATGAAATAATCAATGCACACCTTCCCACAGAAAGATAGGAAAATTGCCTAGAGTATTTTCCTTACAGTTTCACCTGTTTCACGGGAGGGCTGCAACTGACAAACAAAATGCAAGTGAGTGTGTTGTGACCTGTTAGGATGTCAGAGGTAGCAAGCTGTCTTCTCCTTGTGAAATGAACAGCAATGACCGTTTGCATTCTTGTGAGTAATAAAACCCAGGACAGGAAGCGTCACTGCTGGAACTGTAGATACTCTTTCTTATCAGAGGGCAATAGTGTACAGCTATTGCTATCAGACTTCCCAACGATGCACATGCCTGGTTTTATGGCAGCATTCCTCAGTTATTCCACATCTGTCACAGACACTTGCACGTTCCTAACAAACACAGAGCTCATCCTGCGGGCATCAGGCTTGACTGCTCTACACAAAGTCCATTTGTGCTGTTTCTCAGTCCACTACGAACAGATGCAACTGAGATTTCCTAACCCAGGGAAACTAGTATCCAGTTAAGACAGCCCACAAGAGTTAAGCTGCGCTATTTCCAGAAGGAAAACAAACCTCTCAGCCAGAGCTCTGCTTGGTGCTCCCCTCACCAACAGCAACTCTTCCTCTAGCCGCTGCCTCTTGGCTTCTAGGCGTTCCAATTCATCTTGGGTACGTTTCTGGGGGGTGACGAACTGAAGCTCTTTCAAAAGTTCTTCTTTTTCATTAATCAGCATCAGCTTCTCCTTCTCAATATCCAGTGCCCCGGGCCATGCCTCACTGTCCAATTTTGACAGCTCAATTTTTAAGTTGGCCATACTAAAAAAAGAGATAAAAGAGGTATGCACATACTTAACACTCCCAAGAAAGGTAAACACAGCCTAGGCCAAGTTTGGGGTTGACATGCTGTCCAGATTTTCCTAACTTGACCTTACCAGAAAGGGGTGTGGTGTACTAGTGAGAGGCCATAGTGGGAGCAGCAGCCTCGCACGCCAGTCTCTGGGCCTGACCCCGCTCTCCCATCACCCACATCTTTCCCATCTTTAACATGTGAGTGAGCACACCTGGCTATATGACAAAAGGGTCAAGGCCAAGCACACAGAGGCTTCAAAAGCTGAGTGCTCTGGGGGCCACGAGAGACCAGCCCCGACATGTGACTGCCTGTGCAGGTGACAGGAAAGAGGCCTAGGTGAAAAATTGACCCCTTTAGAAAAATTGAGGTCAATAATGTCTGAGATGCCATTACTACAAATTTTATTCCTCTGTGTTTACATGCTGTCTGCTAGGGAAATAGGAATCTGAGAGCAGGCTGGCCAGAGACAAGGGTTTGAGTAAGTCAGGGAAGAAGAGGGCAGCAAAGAGAGCAGTGGTGTGACCAACGGGTATGAGAGCAGTCGGGCCAGGTGCCGTGGCTCATGCCTGTAATCCAACACTTTGGGAGAACAAGCAAGAGGATCGTGTGAGGCCAGGAGTTTGAGACCAGCCAGGGGAACACAGTGAGACCCTGTCTCTACCAAAAATATTTTTTAAATTTTTAAAAATTAGCCAGGTATAGTGATGTGAGTGTCTGTGGTCCCAGCTCCTCGGGAGGCTAAAGTGAGATCACTTGAGCCCAGGAGTTTAAGACTGTAGTGGGCCATAACTGTGTCTCTGCACTCCTGACTGGGTGATAAAACAAGACCCTGGGAGGGAGTCAGGGGTTGATCCATCAAGGCTCTCCCATCGGCTCGGCCTTCTCCCATTCATATTCTCCTTAAGCTGCATGTGAGTCTCCTCCCCATCAGTGCCCTGACTGGTATACAAGCCATTTACTGAGCACTCATTGCACTGACACTTTACAGGTTATTGTGCTAGCCCTGTGCTTCCTCTGTACACAGCTATTTGCAGGCAGCACACAGTGGACCTTCACTAGGCAGCCGGCGTGATACCACTGGAGTGACAACAGGTGCTGAAGTGATGGGGACAGGGACAGGAGAAGGAGGAGGAAAATGCACCAAGGCAAACCTCACTGGTTCCATAATTTTGCCTGACCCCAGATTTCTCTTATGTCTAGAGCTTCATAACACATGGTAGACGTACATTACTCCCGTCTCAGTATGAATGTCCTAACCGCCTGAGTCAAATAACTTGCTACGTGGCACTGTGAAGACAATCAGGGCTGTGGACAAGGTAAACGGCACATGGTTCTTTTGACCATAGGACAAGATCTCAGCAAACTATGAACTCAACTGATGTTTTCACAAGGAATCTATGTTCCTACAGAAAAATGCTGGATGATTACTCTGGATATTGTTACAGCACACACCAGAATATGAAAAACAGAAAAGAAATAATTGTTTCCCATTTTGATGAGAGAAATTGTAGAAGGGAAGAGAAAAGGTGAACGAAAAACATAATCAAGAGCAAAGATGGAGTTGGATCCATACCTCTGTGCCGTAAGGTTCTTGTTCTAATTAAAACTAAAATTGCCATCTTAGACTGGCTCTGCGTATGCAGTGTACTTCTGATTTTCCCCCACCGTCTGCGCTTATGATAGATGTAACATCAGCTATTCTCCAGCTTTAACCACAAACCATAAACAACTGTCTCAACATACTAGAAAATTAATCATCAAAATGCTAAATAAGCATATTATTAGCTTCATTAAGCACATAAAACAAGGGCTGGATGCGAAAACAGAATTAATAGAAACACAACCTGCCTCTACTTATTCAAAATCAAGAAGAAAAGAACATGTTCAACACATGTGTAAGCCCTTGAGCTTTACCTTCTCGTCGACATCACCAGTAACTTTACAACAAAACCCCGAATGGCCTGGCAATGCAAACAAGTGGGAAAGAACCAGCGTCTGAAGTTCTGATGCGACCGAATTAACCAATGAACCAGGAGCAACAACGTAATACAGGAAAAAGAGGTGCCTGTTTGTTATTTGTGTGATCTGACATTAGGCAGGTCTTAAATTTTATTTTAGAAGGGGTGTGCCAAATTTGGGGAGAAGAACATGAAGAAGACTTCTAGAAGCACTTAGGAAAAGAAATGCCATGTGAGCTCCAGATAAAATTAACTTAGAAGTCAAAGGAGGGTCAAAGTTGAAGCTGATCCATGGGAAGCAGAGTCAAACCCAAAAGAATGCAGGGGCATCGGGCCCAGTTCTCCAAGACTGCTTCTGAGTAACGGCCATTCTCTTTGAGGAAAGCAGACCTAAATCATGGATTTGTCCACAGCCCAGCCCAGGTGGACACACAACAAGGGGACCGCATGCAGTATCTACCAAAAGCTGGTGCATCACCAAGCCACAAAACCAGAAGCTGATCCCCAGTACTCACTGAAAGGAAGGCAAATCTGGGCACTGAGAAGGAGACAACAAAGCCTACAATTTTTTTCCTATCCTGAAGAAATTTAAAATCTGCCAGAGGAAATTTAAAGGCATTAAAATTAGCTGAATAATTTGCTGTTCAGATTGACTAAGTGACTTGTTCAAGCTCACATGGTTAATAATTTACAGAATGAAACTTAGTCTTCTTTCAGGAAGTGAGGAATCAAGTAATATTAAGAACACAGGTTACATAGAGGTGAATATTGTCTTTATTTTGCTTTGTTAAACCAGACAACCTCTAAGGACCATAGTCAATTGCTTTTAAATTATCATCATCACCAATAATAAGGAATAGACTTCAATATCTGGTTCTCAGCTGAGCTTTTCACACTCATGGGGAGAAACATGATAAATTCCTGTTTCCTGCAGGATGATAATGCAGTTTTCCCCAATGTCCTAAATAATAACCCAGTAGCCTGTTAAAGCTCTGATGAGGAAAATAATGAAATCAAATGTATCACTATAATCCTTCATAATAAGGAGTTCTATATTATGAAAAATATTTGAGTCTATCAAGCAGATAAAGATGGTAAAGTCTCTTATGTCTCACTCCAGCAGAATCACAAAGAAAGAAAAAGATAGCACAGGGGTTAAGGAGAGTTTATGAGGTAAAAGAGAGAAATAAGAATCTCTCTTCCTTTTCCCTAAAGTAAGTCAACTGGAACTGACACCTCAGCACCTTCAAAGATATTAGCAGTGAGACTTCCCTTCAAATCAGAGAAACATGCTTATCTGCTTTAGAACTCAACAGCTATTTAGTCCTCTACCTGAACCACTGTATCATACTTCCATTAAAGCAACCGATTTTCTCACTTTTAACTGGGAATTAAGTATTGTACCAACTCAAAGTTTCTTTTTTCTCAGAAGAGAAGGAGGCAGTTTCATTCCCACACTTCTCATTAATTCTCCCTCTTCAGCTTTGACGGTGCGGGGGTGGAGGGGAGTTGGGGGCAAGAAAAGGTAGACCAGAGAGGAAGCAACCCTTAAGTGCTAACAACCCAAAGGTAACCTTGGTAAGAATGTATGGGAAGTGTCCAGCAGATGTCACCACAGGAGTAAAGATTAATTCTGAAAAAGAAAATGGAGCCATGCACAAAACAGCTTCTCTGTCATTACCTTCTTTTGGCTTCTTCATACTGCAGGCTTAGCCTGACCTTTTCAGCTAAATTTGATCTACTTCTCACTCCAATCTAGTGGAAAAAAAAAAAAAAAAGGAAAAAAGTCAATTAACTCTGCTAATGAATGAAGTAAATTGCTTTTGTTTCTAGGAAGCATGTGTAATTGAAAAGTTAAAGAAGATAGTACTGAAATTGGGAAACACGAGTTTTAAAAGACTTACTTTATTGTCTCAGTAGGGGCAAAACACTTCTTTCAATTCAAGCTCGTCTGTTTTTCAAAGCCTTTAACATTTTCTCTATATGTTAAGTTCAAGATAAAAAAATCTTGGTATTGTAAATACCAAGGTAAATGTGTCTGATATCTTAGAGTTTATGAAGGGTGTACAGGTCAATAAAATTTATGAACTGGAACTAATTTCTTTGCCTTTATGAGCCTAATTTCTATCATTTAGCTTTTAACTGTACAAAATATAAACTAAATTAGTTCAAAAATTAATTTTCAAACGGGTAAGCCCTACTGTTGACCTCGACCTGGTTTACTTTCACAATACATGTTTCAAAGCAGCATAAGAAAGTATGAAAATAAATGGGCATGTATTGGGAAGTAAAGCCGTGCTCATGGCATCCCACAATGAAGAAGGTAAAATAGTCAACAACAGCCGAGCCCCAGTAAACATTTAAATCTCAAATTAAACATTTTAATATAATCAACTCAGATTTATAAAAACAAGTTTTCTTATTAGTCTTAAAAGGCATGTTTTTCTATGTCTCATTGGCCTAATGTTTACTTGAAAGGACTAAATTTCCAAGACTCTAAATGTAATAGGAAAAACTTAAATTCTTATATGCCTCTAGTCTTTCAGTGTGTCTCTGAAGAAATACCACATGAGAAAGTTTGAACAAAGCTATTCATATGGACAAATCCTGATATGCTTGGCACCTAGACAGAAAAGATAAGACTATGATTTTTAAAACTAATCTTACGAGAATGAAACACTCAATGCACAAAGCCAGAATCCAAGTCACATATACTTCTGGTTCCAGTTCACCATCCATATTGCAATTAAGGCCCATCAAGGACAACACTGGGCCAACTCTTCAACACAGACAACTTACATCTCCGGAAATGCTTGTTTGTGACCCAGCATCAAGGGTCTGTCTGGAGAGAGATAAATGAGAGTTCACAGGACTAGATCTCAAATCTGGCTCAGATCTGCCAATGTTCTGATCCAAATGAAACCGCTCCTGCAGCTTAGCAAGACTCTGTTCAGAAAACACAAAGTGTTTTATAAAGCTTAACATGTAAGAGGGCAAACCTTCCCCACCAGGTGAAATGAAAAGGAAAGAGCTAATCGCAATGGAAAAAACAACTACTTTATTTTAGTAGGTACTTACCACTTTATATAATTGAAAAAATAATAGGAAATAATTTTGTACCTACAAACATGTGACTTCGGAAGTGCGATCATATTAAGCCAGTTGTCTCACCTTTCCCAAGATAGCATTTTCCTGTGAATAATGGTATCTTTACAATACATGCATGTCTTATTTCTAAAATTTTCATTAAGAAGTTGTCTCTTTCAATAGGAACCCACTCACTTTATGCAATAGAAATTCTGGAAACACAGAATATCTGTAACATAATCTCTCTTTTTAGATACAGTAAGAGAACCTCCTACTTTGAAGACTTCTTCAATTACACCATTGTACATCTGGAAAGGAGCCGAGAGATTATTTAGCTCACATCAACATTAGGGATTAGGAAACTGAGGCTCAGAAGTTGCTAATGAGTGGCACAGGCCTCAAACAGGGCCATCTGTGTGTGTGTCTACTGCACGGCACTGCCTGTGGTGACATGTTTGGCTTGGTAAAGAACATAATCAAAAGCAAATGTGCCTGCTGTGGGCACTGAGGTTTAATATACTGTGATTTACTTTAGAGGGAGAATATGAACAAGTGAAAGTATTGAACAGGAAAGACTAATCTGAATCACTTAAAAAAATAAAAAGGAAATCCTACAGTAATACTAATAAAATGGTAAGAAACCAAACCATTATTATCAACCTCAAAAAAAGCCTGTATTTAATCCTGATATTTAAATTTTTTATGATTAAGAGGAATTAAAAAATACTAGAGATCTGAAATTTTTTACCTTTATTTTCTTTCAAAGGGATATTTACACAAAATATAAATAAATAAATGTCTATCCTCATATATATCTATATATATCTATATATAGATATGAGGATAAAACTTAAATGGTCACATCAAATAACAGAAAAGAACAAAAAAACCTTATGGTAATCTTGTGCAAGTCTCTTCCATTTTTCCACGTATACAGTGAAAAAAAATTAGTGTTTTTCAAACTTATCTGTGATGGCAATGCATTCAATCAATTAGTAGGTTGTTACTAGTATTTTTAAATGAAATAGAAGATACTAGAAAGTAAAATCAGAGTGCATCACCAGTATTAAGAGTAGGCATATTTCTGTGAAATTCACTGAGTGCGTGTGTGTGTGCGCGCGCATGCGCACCTGTGTATCTATAGGTATACAACAATTGCGTGTTACTGGGTTTTGATGTAAAATCTTTTTCTTTCTTTTTTTTTTGAGACAGAGTCTTGCTCTGTTGCCAGGTGCAAGGCTGGAGTGCAGTGGCGCGATCTCGGCTCACTGCAACCTCCGCCTCCTGGGTTCAAGCAATTCTCCTGCCTCAGCCTCCCGAGTAGCTGGGACTACAGGCGCACGCCACCATGCCCAGCTAATTCTTGTATTTTTAGTAGAGACGGGGTTTTACCATGTTGGCCAGGATGGTCTCGATCTCTTGACCTCATGATCCACCCTCCTCAGCCTCCCAAAGTGCTGGGATTACAGGTGTGAGCCACCGCGCCCGGCCTTGTAAAATCTATTTCTTACTGTGGTCAAAGAGATTTGAAAGTCACAGAAGATATCTAAAGTCCCTTATAACTCTATTGTCAATCTCTGCATGTACTAATTAATTATTCTATGTACTTTAATAACTGAAAAGGAATCTAATCTTTTAATTTAATTGGGCCTGCATATGAATCCAAAGTTTATAGGAAGGATGAAAGACGACCTAAAATTGTTGAATTAGAAGGCTGCAATGTAAATTTGTTCTAGTTCCATTAACTTTTTTTTTTTTAAAGGACATGTATTTCTGGAATTACTGACTTAATCAGCAAGACAATTGTGGAACAAAAACAAAATACACACAAGTAAAGTCTTGCGCATGTTATATATGTTAAAACTCATTAACCAGACTGCCTGGGTTTGAACCACAGTCTTGCTACTTACCAGCTGTATGACTTTAAGAAACTTTAATTTTTCTGTGCTGAAATTTTTTGTAAGCTGAGAATAACAGTGCCTACCTTTAGTGGTGGTTGTGAGGATCAAGGGAATTATTTATATGCAAGGCGGTTATAGGAAGGTCTGGCAGAAAGTCAGTATTTATAAGTATTTGCTGTTATGACTGTTGTCTTTTTATTAGAACTCGTCTCATAAGTTATTTCAAATTTCCCAAAATGCAAAATTACATGGATCCAAGAATATTTATCTATATTCAACTAATATTTTGAAAACCAATGTGAAGTCGTTAAACATGGTAGTTAAATGCAGATGTTCTATTGAGAATGTAAACATCATCAATGACTCCAAGTTCCCAAAGATGTGGACTACATTATTCCTCAGCTAAGTAAAGAACTCCAAATATATGAAATAAGAATTCTTAGTGCTTGTGACAATTATGGGATGAAGGAAAGGAGAGGAAGAGAGACACCCTTAAAAATAACTTGACTGTATTTGCTAAGTATAGATATTCAGAATACTGATCACTTAATGGCTATTTTGGTTTTTGCACACATGATGCTGGATCACTGGGAGTTAAAAAGTATACAGGCTGAGAAGTGTACAGGTTTAGTAAGGGGATCTATGGCCATTAGCAGCTTTCCTAGGATAACTGTACAGGAATCCCCTACTGGGTCTGCACTCCCCACCCACCTTTGGGGGGCACCTCAGAATCAATGGGTCGGAAAGAAGCTTTTCTAAGCTCCTCACATAGCCTCATCTCCAAAAAGCATGCCTTCTACCTACGCACAGCAAATGACATATCCTTTGTGCATCCTGGGCTGCAAATTCTGCTTATCTGGGTCCCATATGAAGTTTTCAGTGAGTTTCAGGGTGCAGCAAAACGTTAATCTCCTCACATGAGCTCCAGGCTCCACCACCCACTATCTCAAAGGACATCCAAAGGCTGCTTACAAAGAAGTGTCCCAGTCACTTGGAATCCTTCTGCTTTCCTCCAAGGCAGCAGGCTACCTTTGTGCCTCCAACAGCCTCCACAGGGCCTGTTCCGCACAAATGGGACAGGGATGGAAGGGCCATCCGGACTCTGAGGGAGCACTACTGCCCCAGTGAGAGTTTCTGGGGGCCTAAGAAGGTAGAAGTTTGGCTTAACGAAATGTTTTGTAATGTACCTGCATCAGATCTTGTTTTTCTTTTTCTCCTGAGCTAATGGCCTTTCTGATAGATTTTAGTTCTGTTAGAATGGCTTTGGCTTCACTGAGTTCATACCCGCTCTGTCCTCCAGACATTTTTTTATCAATTCTGTTGAAAAGAGAAGAAGAAAGAAAAAAATATCAAAGAATGGTAGCATATAAGTTAAACAGACAGTAGGAACTGGTTTTGGAGTTGTCTAAGTTGGCCGATTATTTCACTTCTGATTCTCACATACCAGCAATCATCTTTTCAGGCTGTTTCTCTTCCTTTCTCTTCTTTTTTATTTGAGACAGTCTTGCTCTGTCATCCAGGGTGGACAGAGCTAGGCGCTCTACAACCTCCGCCTCCTGAGTTCAAGCAACTCTCCTGCCTCAGCTTCTTGAGTAGCTGGGATTACAGGCGCCCGCTACCACTCCTGGCTTATTTTTGCATTTTTAGTAGAGATGGGTTTTCACATTGGCCAGGCTGGTCTTGAACTCCTGACCTTGTGATCCACAGGCCTTGGCCCCTCCTTTCTCTTTTCATCACAGCCACCTAAGATTTCTCCCATCCCCCACTTCAAACCCAATCCATTTCTAATCACTTTGGGGCTCAAATAAATACAATTTTTGTCTTCAATCTGTTTGATCCCACTGCTGGCTGAACCCAAACCTCATCAAGTGCTGATCCTGATCTTCACCCAAGAAAGGCAAAAGACATGAGCAAATGCTTCAGCAGAACACAGAGGCAAATAAACTGCACCTAATTTTACACAATGTTTTGCTATAACGTCTGTGCAAAACCTCGCACAGGGCCTGCAACTTGGGAGACCTTAAATAAGTGGTTAATAAATTATTATTTATATTAGTGAGTATTCTCACTAATATTTCTCTCTCTCTCTACACACACACACACACACACACACACACACACATAAGTATTTATTCTGCTTTTATGAAAGGTAGGAGTCGAGATAAAATTGCTTGCCTTGCTGGATGAGTTCAAACTTAGGCAAATGGCAGAAGGGCAGTGGTCATTTCTCAACTCATACTGAATAAACAGCTCTTCAGTGAGCTAATTTATTATCCCTGCAGAGCTGCTTACCAAGTGTCCCTACAGTTTACGCTGTCACCTTAGGCTAGAGGATTTCATGTAACCTAATTCTTTGTGTTTGAAGGGCCTAATCAAATTACCTAATTCTTTTTTAAAAAATCGTTTAATGTACTCTTCATGATCATTCTCCTGGTCCTCTCCAGCTACCTGTGCTGTCCTGGATTCGTTATTAACACAGCACGAGCTTTCCTTGTGGGATGTATGATTATGCCTCTGCCCCAGCTAGCAACTCTATACATGTTTACATGTTTTGAGTCTTATATCCCGAGTCTCCGGAGAAACAACACCTACTGAATCAGAGAAAACAGACTCTGAGCTTGTTTGGTTAAAAACATTTAATACTTAATATTTATTTTTAATGTGAAAGGTATAATCTGAAAAAAATAAAGCAATGCCATCTTAATCACTCTTCCAAACAACGTCCACTCACACAAGTACGGTTTGTAGATAACGTATTTCCTCAAGTACTGTTTTAGTAACTACTTATGCTGCGGAACAAGCAGTTAAAGACTTAAAGAACCTAAGAAAATAACATAAACTTGATCATAAGATCATCTGATCATAAAGTACAACCAATCAAGTCACAGATTAAACATATGCACATGCAAGGGTGCACGCGCACGCGCACACACACACACACAGTTTAGAATAGGAAGGGCCCCTAAAGATCCCCTACTCACACTTCTTGCAAATGAAGAAGCCAAGGCAGAAAGTTGATGCAAATTTACACCCTGAATCGCACAGACACTTAGCTAGTAGGGGAATTATCCCAAAATGACAGATTCAGGCCTGGGACTCCTGACTATCGCATTTAGAGTATCTGATGGGACTAACGAAGTACTCTGACTAGCAGCTAATTCCATTTATTTGGGAAGAGCTTTATCAATGGAATTTCTGACTCCCTTAAGTATTATATCCATCAACTTAGCTGAGGAAATGGTTTATTAAATAAAACAAATACTATTTCCAATTATAGCATTCTGATGTTTCCAGATGTAGCACTTTTTAACTAAAAGTAAAAACTGAAAACTAAACTGTGAGATTTTATAAAATAGGTCGCAATGGGGCATCCGAAACTGCGTCGAAGTGAATTTCTAAAGCTCAAGCAACTTCTTCCCATTTGTGTCAAGTCTTCAGAATTTAATGAGAAAACAAATCTTTGATTTGGAAATAAACATAAACTCTATCATTTGAAAATAAACGCAGGTAAGTTGTTTTCAGAAATAAACCTTAACATTTAAAAATAAAAGCACGACTAGCTCAAGACTGCTAATTTAAATTTCAGAGAGCTTTAAACACAGGAAAATTTCTTGGCTATCTACTGCTCGACAGAATGCTAAATATAAAGAACATGGCTCAGCTTTCATCATAGAGGGTTCTGTGGTCCTTCTCTTTCTTTTGCCTCCTTTGAACTTCTGTAACTGTGGTCTTTTTCCTTTATTTCCCTCTTTCTTGTTGTTCTCCTCTACTTTGCATTTCCCACCTTTTCTCTTTTGACCCTAACTTGTCATAAAATAAACTGAAATATGAGCATCATTTGCTGACTTAAAGAATCATGCTTTTTGTTCTTAACATGAGAAGTGCCATTTTTTTCCTAAAAATTTTTTTGGAGGTTCTTGACTTGAGTGTGCCCTACAACTAATTTTTCCTCTATATATTAGTCTATTTTGAGAAAGAAAAGATGTTCATTTACATCCCTTCTCTGGCAATTGTCTACCCTGAGAACCAAATTTTCAGGATCTGTATATGCCTGCGACTTGCTGTTTCCAATTCTGAATGCACACTGGAGGCAGCGAATGGAAATATGCATCTTCCTGGTGTCCATTTACACATATGCTACACTACTGCTTAGACAAAGTCAAATTTGGGACCACAAACTAGAACGAATAACGTAGAGAACAATGCCATATTTGTCTACCCAGCATAAAACTACCGTACCAAGTACAATGAAAGCTCAAGTTTAAATTATATTGTAATTCCAGGTTCAACAAATATATTTCACTGTTGTAAATAAATGAAAACTTACAAAAGCCTACAATAAGATTCTATCTAAACCTTTTCTGCTCTAACCACAAATATAAGTCCCTTTACAGTATCAGGAATGTGGTTTTTTAAAAAGTCTGGTTGCTGGGTGTGACTGCTGATCATTCAGGGTTTTAGCAGTATGGTGGCTAATACTAGAATAAAAACAGCTTTATTTTGTCTATAGTTAAGATAAACAGGAGAGGTCTCTGATGTTAGATATCATATCTTTCTGCTCTTGGTTCAAGGGATTAAAATCACTGCAAGAGAATGCCTGAATTTGTACAACAAATGTCTATTGTTTTCTTGTGGAATGTTATTGACAGATTCTTAAACATGCCTTAGATTCCTAAAAAAATTGCTTGCAAGCAAACTGCTTTCAAACAATACAGCATTGTTACATCAATATAACAAAGACAGCAAGTTTGGCTAACCTTTAATCCCAAGTGGTGACGTGAGTTATAATTTCATGTGTCTGAAACACGTGGAACATACAGCTAAACACTTTATGGCACTCTTCAAAGTTTGTTTTCTCTCCCTTCCCCCACCACAAAGCCCTGCTTTATGCTGATAAACATTTACTAAATAATGCATTTGTGTCATTCTAGTTCTGCTTGGTTTTCCAGGCAGCTCTGCAACCAGCTGAGGTTCTTACAATACGGCTGTACTTGAGAAGCAGTGGGGATCTCATAACATATACCTGGCGTACAGACTAGAAACAGGTTATTTTTCTAAGCACTCTCCAGATTATTCTAACTGTGCAGTCAGGTTTGAGAACCACTAGGGTGGGAGCATCTGAAGGAATATTAAGGTCATGATTATATGTAGTGAGCAGGCAAAAAAGAAATCTGAGCAATAAAAGCACACGTGGGAAATTAAAGTCACATGCCTGACTGGTGGTCAAGAGCAGCGCCTGGGTATCTCAAGATATGACTAATCACCCAAACGAGAACAACCAGTTTGTCTGGCCAGTGACACACAGGATCTTTAAAGGGGGTAACACCTTGCTGCTTGGAGCATCCCAAATTTCCTAAGAGCAGAAGGCAAAATAGGATTCCACAGGGAAAAGAAACACAGCTGGGTACTTTCCACAGAGGTGACTCCTGAGACTAGCTTGGCATTCCTGAGATGCTACCAAGGGAGATGCTGGGAAGAAAATAAAACCTGTCTGAACATGAAACTGACCAGGGATATCCCCAGAAATACTGTACCGCACTTGGAGGCACCAAGCAGGAGGGAAGTTTTACCTCCTCTCCATGGTCATGCGGCTATGAAAACCATGGACTGCTTCTCTCCCATGAGACCCCTGTGGAGTAGACTGCGGGATTACAAAGGCTCAGGTGTGCTTGTCATGCTTTTTGTCATAGGCTGGGCCTCAGCAGCAGGGAGAATAGTGGCTTTCTCTAGAATTACCCTTGGTAATTCTAGACTAGCTCTAGAACTAAAACAAGGGCTTTTAAGGGGTCATAACAGAGAATGCATCAGGCATTCAGTGGCTTTCAGGGGCCAGGAATGGGGAAGGGATATCCTGATCCTATGACCCGTTGTCACCCGCTTTTTCACTTAACCTGGTCCAGCCTAGGGCTCTGCTCATGGCCCAGCAGACTTCAGTACCAAACAGGAAAGACAGAGGAACGCAAGAAGTGAGGAGTGCACTCCCACTCCTTTGCTAATAATCCTGACTTGCTCTTGCTCCCCTGCCATCTGTCAGGGTTAGACTCTAGGTCATCCCTGGGGCTGACAGAGAGAGACAGACGTGCCTCCACCCGAAGGCCCAGGACAGCTGCAGGCTTACATAGGGGTCAAGTGCAGCAGGCCCAGTCTAATGTGGAGACAACTTCTTGTGCCTGGTCTCTTAGATCTGCACCACGTCTCAGAGGAGGCCAGCAAGGGTCCAGGAGATAAAGGTAAGACAAAGTCTTTTCACGTTGGTGTCTTTAGATCTCCAATGATTAATAAACACTTTGGATCTTTTCAAGTGTAGAGATCTTTCCCAAGTTTTTTATCTGTTGGTTGATTGCTTTGTTTTCTTTTGGTGTAGAGCTCTGAACCTTTTACATTTCTTTGAGAAATCTCTTATGTAATCTGTACTTCTATTTTCTTTGTATTATTATTAGGGAGCTTATTCTAAAGTTGATTCAGTATTTTCATACTCACTGCTGCAATGTTTCAAAGCCTTGTTCTTTATAGAGCAGTTCTTGCTTCATCTGTGAGAGTTCTCTCTTCAGCTTTTTAACCTTTAAAGAGAAATCGATATAAATATTAATGTTTGCAAATAATTAGCAACATAGCATATTGTTTTAAAAGTAATAAATTAGTAAACTATTAAACACATAGATAAAATCATTAAAGTAACATTTACTTTCTCCTTCATATAAATTCTGTGGAAGGCATATTAATTATGTCTAAAACTATTAGTAATATGTATTATTACTACTATTTACTTTAATTACCTTACTTAGTAACATTCTTAAGAGTTGGTCATCATCATTGTCTTCAGCCATAAAGGGCAGAATAAGAAATTCAGGCCATGGCATCTCTATAAAAGTGTATGTTTGTCCTTCATTCACTGTGCCCAGGGCTACTGCCCACCCCTCCATTCCCTGAATGGCCTGATAGTTCCCTCTGCCTGGAAAGCTGTGCTTCAGATCTCCAGCAGTCGACACCCTGCCCCTCCAATGCTAGCTGAAATGTTACCTTTTCATATAGGACTTTTCTAGCCTCCTGCCCCTCCCATGACTGTTTTATTTAGACCACAATATTTTTCAGGAGCTGAAATTCTCCATGCACACTGTCTGTCCTCCATGAGAAAGCAAGCTGCGTCCTACCAGCGGTATCCTGAGCATTTACAACCAAGTCAGGCAAACAGCAGATGATCAATAAATATTTGTTGTCAAACTGATCAAATATATTTTTCTGTTGTCAGATATATTCTTTGGTAATAAAAATTCTAAAATTTTGTTGGGCGTAGTGGCTCACGCCTGTAATCCTAGCACTTTGGGAGGCCGAGGTGGGTGGATCACCTGAGGTCAGGAGTTCAAGACCAGCCTGGCCATTATAGTGAAACCCCATTTAAAAAAAAAAAAATTCTAAAATTTGACAGATCAGAAAAGCAACACATGTCTGGTTTAGTCACAAACTAATAAAGGTCTTCATGCGAGGGTTAGAAACTTAATTCCATATGTTAAGTTAGAGTCTTAAGTTTTTTGGTTTTTGCTTGTTTGAGATGGAGCTCTGTCACCCAGGCTGGAGTGCAGCGGCATGATCTCGGCGCATTGCAATCTCCGCCTCCCAAGTTCAAGCGATTCTCATGCCTCAGCCTCTTGAGTAGCTGGGATTACAGGGGCCCACCACCAAGCCCAGCTAGTTTTTGCGTTTTTAGTAGAGAGGGAGTTTGACCATGTTGCCAGGCTGGTCTTTAACTCAAGGGCACAAGTAATCCACCCACTTCGGCCTCCCAAAGTGCTGAGATTACAGGCGTGAGCCACCATGCCCGGCCAGAGCCTTAAGTTTTAAACACATTCTGTTGTGCAATATTTAAGTGTGCTTTTAAACTTTTATGTTGATTTATTTTGCTCATTCCACAAATACACATTGACTCTCCTATGCATCTCGTGCTGGGCCTGAGCATGAACGAAAAAGACATGATCCCTGCTCTGAGGGGTCTTACAGACAATGGAGCAGCTAGATATTGGGCAAACAGTCACGCAACAAAAGAAATCTTACCAATGACCAAAGGTGCTCTCAAGGAAAAGGTTCAGGATACTTAGATATGCCAAGAGAACAGGACCTAATTTATTCTGTGGGCTTGGGGGGAGCCTGTCTGAGGAAACAATGCTTCAGTTGGGAGGAAGGATCAGTGGGGGCTCACTTGGTAGAAGGGGTCCTCAAAAGGAAGAGCTTGTACAAAACTCTAAAGGGACAGCGGGGTGAGGGGGTATTCAGCACACCTCTGGAATTTAAAGAATGCCACTATGGCTGGATTACAGAGGGTGGGGTGGCAAAAGATGGAACTGGAAAAGGACTGATATATAGATGCCACATTGAGAATTTCTAAATCTTACTCTAAGAACCATGAGAATCAAGGAGGGATTTTAAAGCATGATTTGCTTTATGATTTTAAGTAACCACTGTGACAATGCTGTGGGGGCTGACCAGAAGTGCCACAAGGGTCCATTATGCCAGCACTGTGAGCTGCCACCCCACCCTCTGTAATCCAGCCATAGTGGCATTCTTTAAATTCCAGAGGTGTGCTGAATACCCCCTCACCCCGCTGTCCCTTTAGAGTTTTGTACAAGCTCTTCCTTTTGAGGACCCCTTCTACCAAGTGAGCCCCCACTGATCCTTCCTCCTAGCACTGTGGGCTGGCATGTGGGCAAGAGCCAGAGGAGGAAGATACTTCAGAGGCAGAATCAACAGGACTTGGTGATGGACTCGGCATGGAGGGTGGGGAGAGCATTTGACCAAGACCATGTCAGGATTTTGGCTTGCCGCATGGGTAGATGAAGGTGCTTTCCTGGAGAGCAGGACCAAATGTGGAAGAGGAAGGATTTTCTTTAGGACATTTATTTCTGTGATGTCCAGGAGACTTCAAAGGCAACTGGAATATGTGAACTTGGTGTTCAGAAGTGTCTGGACTAGAGGTAGATAACTGAGAGTCACTGGCACAAAGATGATAGTTTAGATGCATGAGAATAAATGAGATTAGCTAAATTCGGTGTGCATGAAAAGAGAAGAGAGTTTGAGAGCAAGCCTTGGTCATCTTCATTATTCACATGTCTACTAGAGGGAGAGAAAATACACTGTGAAGTGGTGACAAGAGATGTAAGAGGAAAAAAAGAGCATCCTAGAATACAAGAGATAAACGTCAAGAGGGAGACTGGGCACTATGAGGAACATGACAAGGACAAGAGCCATGTAATACTCATGTCTGGGCACAGTGCTTTGGACGAAGTAGATATTCATTAACATATCTGTTGAGTTTACTTGAATGTTTATCAGTCTGTGGCCTTAGGTACTTCTATTTTATTAGGACAAAGAAATATAAATATAAAAATATAAATAATCAAGGCCCAATTTGTAACTACAGAGAGAGGTATAAACAGTGCTACTGGAACTCAAAGGAAGAAAAGATTACTACGGCTTGAGGATGAGGGTGGAATACCTGGAGAAGGCTACTGAACTGGATTTTAAAGGTACTGTAAGATGAACGACAGCAGTGAGTTCATTCACAGTATATCACAAAAACATTTCCGTCTTAATATTAAGCTATTATCATATCAAAAGAGCCACAGCAAGCAGTAGCTTATTCTACATGTATTTCTATTTAGTACAACATTCTCAAGTGCTTTTTGTCAAGCAACACTTTCATCTTTTGGAAAAAAAAAATGAGTCCAAAAATTGATAGCATTCAAATATCTGGGCTGAAACCTGTCTTTTACCTTTGAAAATACGGTTTGTTACAAAAGCTACAAATAAAATAAAATTAAATTAAATTAACCAAAGAAGTGAAAGATTTCTACAATGAAAACTGTAAAACAAGCTTGCCCAACCCACGATGACTTTGAATGCAGCCCCACACAAATTCATAAACTTTCTTAAAACATTATGGGGATTTTTGCTTTTTTTTTTCCAGCTTATCAGCTACTGTTAGTGTATTTTACATGTGGCCCAAAACAAAAATCTCCTGAAACTGATAAGCAACTTCAGCAAAGTCTCAGGATACAAAATCAATGTGCAAAAATCACAAGCATTCCTATATACCAGTAACAGACTTAAAGAGAGTCACATCAAGAATGAACTGCCATTCACAATTGCTACAAAGAGAATAAAATACCTAGGAATACAACTAACAAGGAAGGTAAGGGACCTCTTCAAGGAAAACTACAAACCACTGCTCAATGAAATAAGAGAGGACACAAACAGATGGAGAAACATTCCATGCTCATGGTTAGGAAGAATCAATATCATGAAAATGGCCATACTGCCCAAAGTAATTTACAGATTCAATGCAATTCCCATTAAGCTACCAATGACCTTCTTCACAGAACTGGAAAAAAACACCTTACACTTCATATGGAACCAAAAGAGAGCCTGCATAGCCAAGTCAATTCTAAGCAAAAAGAACAAAGCAGGAGGCATCACACTACCAGACGTCAAACTATACTACAAGGCTACAGTAATCAAAACAGCATGGTACTGGTACCAAAACAGAGATATAAACCAATGGAACAGAACAGAGGCCTCAGAGGCAATACAATGTATCTACAACCATCTGATCTTTGACAAACCTGACAAAAACAAGCAATGGGGAAAGGATTTCCTGTTTAATAAATGGTGTTGGGGAAACTGGCTAGCCATGTGCAGAAAGGAGAAACTGGACCCCCTTCCTGACATCTTACACTAAAATTAACTCCAGATGGATTAAAGACCTAACATAAGACCTAACACCATAAAAACCCTAGAAGAAAATCTAGGCAAAACCATTCAGGACATAGGAGTAGGCAAGGACTTCATGACCAAAACACCAAAAGCATTGGCAACAAAAGCCAAAATAGACAAATGGGACCTAATCAAACTCCACAGCTTCTGCACGGCAAAAGAAACAGTCACTAGAGTGAATCAGCAACCAACAGAATGGGAAAAAATTTTTGCAGGCCACTCATCTGACAAAGGGCTGATATCCAGAATTTACAAAGAACTAAAACAGATTTACAAGAAAAAAAACAAGCCCATTCAAAAGTGGGCAAAGGATATGAACAGACACTTTACGAAAGAAGACATACATGAGGCCAACAAACATATGAAAAAATGCTCATCGTCACTGGTCATTAGAGAAATGCAAATCTAAACTACATTGAGATACCATCTCACGCCAGTTAGAATGGCGATCATTAAAAAATTTGGAGACAGCAGATGCTGGAGAGGATGTGGAGAAATAGGAACACTTTTACACTCTTGGTGGGAGTGTAAATTAGTTCAACCATTGTGGAAGACAGTGTGACGATTCCTCAAGGACCTAGAAATAGAAATTCCATTTGACCCAGCAATCCCATTACTGGGTATATATCCAAAGGATTATAAATCGTTCTACTATAAGGACACATGCACACGAATGGTCACTGCAGCCCTGTTCACAATAGCAAAGACCTGGAACCAACCCAAATGCCCATCGATGATAGACTGGACAGGTAAAATGTGGCAAATATACACCATGGAATATTATGCAGCCATCAAA